GCTAAATACCTTTCTTTCTTTTTTAACAAATCGTGTGGTAGTGCTATGAAACAGACCACCCATGAATGTTATGCTTATTATGGTCTGTTCTTATTTCCGGTGGTGAGAAATTGTGAATTGAGAATCATATTCGCCTACCGCACTGTGTCTGGCTGGTGGCTGCTTACTGTGCTCTCTAGAGTTATGAAACAGACTACCCATGAACGTTACCCTTAAGAGTCCATAACTTTGCGAAAAACCAAATTTAGGCAATCAAAGGTGGTGGATGTATGATATTTTTTATGGCTTAATTGTTTGTGAATTGGATATATGATCTTTGTATGATTAGCGGGGATGTTTGCTTAATAGAATAATCCATTTTAATTCATGTTTATTTTTAACATGAACTTTAGTAACTCAAAACCTTCGAGACACATATCACCTACTGCATTGTATCATTTTGCCTGGGTGCTTGCTGTGTTGTCAAACTTATTTACCGCCGCTGCTGCTTTTACACTAACAGGGGAGTTAAGAACCCATGAATGTTTCCGTTTGACACAAACAGGAGGACTTGCTTCTAAATCGTGCAGTTGATATACTGGAGACCAGAACAAAAGCAATGTATAACATCAAAACCAACCATCTGAACTATTAGCATTGTTGCTTTACTCTTTTTTCGTGGTTGAGTCTCCTTCAAAAAATTTAGTTTGATTTTAGAAAATTTTGCTTCTGCAGTCCTGTCTTGCCACCAACGCGTTCAGTAGATGGAGATGGCAGAGGCGAAGGCTATTTTTGTGTTGTTGTTGCTGGTTTAGGGATCGGTGTGTGAAGAAGAGGGAGAAGAGAGGGGGAAAGGGAAATGCAGGAGAGGGGGGTAACTCTTTTCTCTGACGAAAATGGAGTGAAGAAAGGAATTATGATCAGTAAGGATATGGTTATCTTACATAACTGTCTCTATTCTGTTGGAATTGAGCTTGGGAGGCAGTGATAAGGACGAGCTGCACCCAATTCATAGTGAGAAGAGAGCTATGAACTGTGATCATGTCTTATTTCAAGTTAGAAGGTAGTTTTGAGTATAAGGATTATTTAATTTGACAAGTTGTTTCGTCCATGATTCTTGGTAGTTTTCGTGCCATTCTAGCCATTGTTTAGTCTGTAATTTTTGAGAATTGATTTGCGAGTAATGACTTTCACTTAGCTTCACTATTATGCGTGTATTTATTGGCATGTGATAGAATTCTCTTTTCCTTTCTTTGAATTCAGTTTCATACTCTAATTGTATCATTTGTACATAGGCAAATCATGCTCGAGATGACAACTCGCCAATATGGCTGGTGCAAGGAACGAAGCCATCATTAGAATTCAGACCGACAACGGGGAGGGATGCCCAGGACTAATTCAATGATGATTGATGATGGTATAATAAAAACTGCAGTCTGCATCAGCACCAATTTCTAGGCCTAAGTAAAGTTATTCAACCAGAACTCTGCTTAGCGCTAAAAATTCCCCTCACCCAACCTTGATCCTGTTTGACCCACTTATGAAGATTCAAGATATATGACTAATCCTCTCCGTTCGTATTTTCTTATTGACTCTTTCTGACCCTTTAGGTTGGGGCGGGTCGGGAAGAATCAGATTAGTGGGTCGGTCCTAAGCAAGTGGAATCCCAATTCCTTCTACTCTCACTTGCTTTTTCTCCTATTCCACAAGTGGGTAACATACACTAATCCGGCCAACGGGCCGGGTAATAGGCTAGTGGTTTTAGAGACAACATCTGTGGAACTATAATAGAGAAAGAATCCAAGAAAATTCTGCGGTTGATGAAACCCTTAATTATCACCAAACGAAACGAAACCACACCTCTCCTAAATCCTAATCCAACATGTTTACGTTGATGATCTCCTCGAGTTTATTAAACAACTATACCTTGAACAACCATTCATTGACAGAATCGCCAGCACCTTCTGCAAAAACAATGTTATGGAATATGGATTCATAGCCTCCTGTAAATGTGATGTCCCCAAGGGCAAAATAAACCAGAAGAATACTTAGTTACTAACCCACATCTAGAATCATAGGATTAGTCATTGGATTAATAAAAGGGTTAGGAGCAATGCAGTAAAAAACGCAATTCTATATAGAAGCGTTTTGGTGATCTAGAAGCGTAAAAATATAAGCTTTTAAGATTTAAAGCGTATAGGGTTATTAGCATTTTGTACCCCTCTACTTTGGTAAATTAACAAACGTACCTCTCTACTAAATTTTTGTACAAACATACTCATCTAATATTAAACCGTAACAAGTTTACCCTTCCATCTAATTATCCGTTAAGTGACCGTTAAATAGGATGAGAAATGACCCAATTGTCCCTCCCTCATTTAGTCTTAATTTCAGTTTTAATTATTTATGTCCAAGAGATCAATTGATTAGAAAAACAAAATCCTAAACTAAGTCTCCCTGGCAGTTGGCGCATGCTTCCTCCGCCGCCAAAGCCCCATCCACCTCCCTTCTTTCCAATCCTCTTCCCTTTCCAAACCCTACGCACGCCTCAACTCCTCTTCCTCCCTTGTTTCCTTCCGCCATCTCACCAATCGACAAGGCCTTCTCCCGCTGGTTGTTCCTTCCGCTTCGCTCAGCAGTGGCGACGACGACGGGATCAATCGGTTCCCTCTCTCCGGCGGTGGTGAGGGAGCAGGGGACGACGGAGGGGAGGAGGTGCCCTCTGATGGGGAAAATACAGGGGACAAGAACAGGGTAGAGGCGATGATGGTGGTGGCAGAGGCAGGGAGGTTGCCGAAAGACCTGACGGTGGCAATCCAGGACGCGAGGATTCCGGGGTTGGTGGTTTCGAATTTTTTGGAGCTAGAGAAGTCCGGGATGATGCGGTGGCTACTTCAGGTTTGGTGCGTTTAAGGAGAGGTTGCTGGCGGATGATTTGTTTTTGGCGGCGGAGGAGCAGAGGGAGTCGGCGGCGAGGAAGTAGGTGCAGGAGAGACTTAGTTTAGAGTTTTGTTTTTCTAATTAATTGATCTCTTCGACATTAATAATAAAATAATTAAAACTGAAATTAGGATTAAATGAGGGGAAATTGGATCATTTTCTAGCCTATTCAACGGTCACTTAACGGATAATTAGATGGAAGGGTAAACTTGTTACCATTTAATATTAGAAGGATATGTTTGTGCAAAAATTTAGTAGAGGGGTACATTTGTTAATTTATCAAAGTAGAGGGATAAAAAATGCTATTAACCCAAAGCGTATATATTGATTACAATTGTAAGTAAAAAGTGTGATTTTACGTGGAAGCATTATAGACTTGTAGTGACATAAAAATGTAAAATCATAAACTTTTTAAATATTAAAGTGCAAGAGATTTTAAAGCCAAAGGGAGGAAGAAAAGGTGATTGCTATTTGTCTGCTTGTTGTTGTTGTAGACTGAGTGTAGAGTGAGTCAGTGAGAGGCACACTCAAATTTTAAAAATTCAATCTTAGTGTAATGAACGTTTTTGGTTATGTGAATTGAGCACTTCTACTATGCTATATAGCATTGGTGTTTTAATGTACAACTCAAAGTTGTACCATAACTCAAATGTATAAGTTTATGTTGTACCATAAAGCAGTTGTACCATAAAGCAATTTATACCATTATGTTATGATACAACTTTACAACTTGAAGTTGTACCATCACATAAAAGTACAAGTTCAAGTTATACCGTAAAAGAATTTGCACAAAAAGTATATGTACAATCTGAAGTTGTACCATAACGTAAATGTACAATTGTAAGTTATACCATAAAGGCAAAAACCTATAGCACCAATACTATATAGCATTGTAAAATTTCTTATGTGAATTATGATTGCTTGCTCTCTTGTCAATGGCGTCCTCGAGTGGGAACCGGGGAATGGTGGCGGCCGAAACTGAAGAAAAAGCAAGTATCTTTCCTTTTCAAATACACTAGGATTGATAGTACTCAAATTATTAAATAATGTAACCATTCACAATGATGATTATACATAATCAAATCAAATCATAGTGTAGTGTTATTCAAGTTCAACTTGGTAAATAATCGATCGTGTACAAGCTAGAGCTGATGATATCTTGCTTTGTAGATGCAATTTTGTGTGTGTACAAATTCGTATCAAGCAATAATCAACCCACTAGTCTTATGATTCTAAATTTCAAAGAGATCCACAACCATATTTTTACTTCCAATTTGAATGGGAGAGAAATCTACTTATTACTTTGGAAATTTGTATACATTGATTATATTAATTGGGGATGAAATTTATTTTCTGCGAAGTTCAACCAATATAATTGATTCATTTTAATTGAAAGAAAACCTTGCTCATATCGTGATACTTACTTGTCTGGGAATGATTTGAACTGCCCCGTATGATATTACCGACCTGATCTGTAATGTGGCAGACATTATTCAACCTGCAACAATATGGAGTGTGGCATGAGTATCTACTTTCTACTTCTCCTGTACCGTCCTGTTTTTTACTATTCTATCTCAAATTTTTACGGTATTTATTTATATTTATCCTATTTTGATTTTTTTTCAACGAGTTAGACCTAATGTTTGAATTGGTTAGACTCATTTACAAATTGTATTATCATTATTTTTCATTCATAGAGTGTCTATCCTTTTGTTTTATTGTAAAAATTAAAAAATATTGTGCGTATTTTTTTCAAATAACATAATAGGAATGGGTTGAACCGTCATGTCCCTTAATCGTGTGAGTATTAGCGGGACATGAATATTGAGATACCCGTCTCTCCCGTCAATTTGCATGTCCTTACAAGTCGCAATAAACCCACCCACCCACCCATCATTCTATTGACCCGAGCCAAACCGACTGGTTTGCTCACCTCCAAGGTTGTCAAACCGGTTCATGCCAGTGTGCCGGTTCAGCAAGTGAAATAGTTCAACCGGTGGCACATACCGGTTTGTGCCGGTTCATGCCGGTCAATATTATAAATAAAATTATAAATACTCATATTTAAACATGACATTTAACGTCAATACCTAAGCATTTATACTTGAATCCAACAAATAACATCAATATTTAACTTTTATACTCATAAAATAAATAATAAAATAATTTTTATCAATTAAATTCTCTAAAATAAAGTCATTTTACTTAGAGATTCGTATATCAATCATGTCGGTCATACCGGTGGTGTCACGCCGGTTTTATGACCGATACCGATTGAACCCGGTACAACCGGTTGCACGCCGGCCGGCGTGACAACCATGCTCACCTCTCTTCCCAGTTCCCTCTACCCGAGTCTCCCTCCCATTGAAGTTCTCGATGCTCTTGCTCTCACAATTTTGAAGAATTTTTCTACAGCGAGTCTTCCAACCTCTGACAACACAGAACTCCCTTTACCCCACAATCTATGCCACTCTCTAAAACAGGAGATCAATCACGTGATCCCTTTCTTTCCTTCTCTCCCTCAGTCCTCTCCCCAATTCCCAAAATTTCCCCCACTCTAACGATCGTCTGAAACCACGCGCCATTGCCCCCATTCTTCTTCTGTCAATTGTTCTTCACTGAGCTTCTTCACTGTGTCTGTGTGCGTTCTCTGGAGCTCTTCCCTGCTTCCAACGCTTCTTTCCATTCCCCGTCACCGATCTCCGTTTTGCCTTGTGGCGGAGGCAATATAGGCCCATAGGTATAGTAACCCATTAATTTTTCCTGCTTTCACTTATGTTTGATCGGGTTTTGCTCTATTGGGTTTGTGATTTGAGTTGTAAAGTCGTTGCCTTTGTCAGCTGCCGGTAGGGCTTTGGGGGTATTTTGAGTAGGAGATAATTTTTTGTTCTAGTTGCTATCGGTTTCTCTGCATTGCACATAATCACATACGTTTCATTTTGCTGGTGTTCGTTGCTATGTTAGCTGTCATTGTCCTTCCGTTCTTTTCTTTCTACTTCCTTCTCTATTTTCATGTAGGCTGTTTAACTCACTCTTTCTCTTGTTGCATTGGGAGCAGCTTTTGATGCGATTCAGTGATGGGCTTGTGATGATCGTTTTTTTCTTCCACTTTCGGTTTTTTTTTACCTTTTTTCACTGTTTTTGGTGTCCCGTCGAGGGTTTTGGGTATATACTTTGCTGTGTAGTTGTTCTGTCAGCTACATGACTTGTTGAGCTTGCTCATAGACATGTTTATTTTCAAGCTGCATTTCTTATGGCGTCCCTGATCTTCCATGTTCAATTTCAGAATTTCTAGCTTTGATTCTTTTTGGGTGAAGACTGGATTCGCTTGGCTTGGCGGTGGTGGTTGTTTTAGTTCATTTGGAGTTTTTCATCTCGATAATGTAAGAAACTTGGCCTGGTTTATAATTTTTTTTCCTTCCTCTTTCACAAGGTGCAGACAATGGGTTTCATTTCCCGGAAGATAGTCCCCTCTTGTGGGACGATGTGCGTGTGTTGCCCTGCTTTGAGGTCCAGATCTCGGCAACCTGTGAAAAGATATAAGAAACTGCTTGCTGATATCTTCCCCAAGTCTCCGGTGAGTGGCTCTCAACAATGAGAAATTTTACAATGCTATATAGTATGTATTGGTGTTATAGGTTTTTGCCTTTATGGTACAACTTAAAATTGTACATTTACGTTATGGTACAACTTCAGATTGTACCTATATTTTTTGCACAAATTCTTTTATGGTACAACTTGAACTTGTACCTTTATGTGATGGTACAATTTCAAGTTGTAAAGTTGTACCATAACATAATGGTACAAATTGCTTTATTGTACAACCTAAACTTATACATTTAATGTACAACTTTGAGTTGTACATTAAAGCACTAATGCTATATAGCATAGTAGAAGTGCTCCTCAACAATCTGTATCTCTACTCTCTAGTTTTACTTTCCTTTTTGATCTCTTAAGCTGGTGCTGATAGTTAATATCTTGCCTAGTTAGCATTTAGAGGAAGCTGTCAGATTGACTGCTGCCAAGGTTTTTTAGGAGTTTGAACAATGAGTTATTTTGTCTATGTATGAAGCTTCTGCACATACACTTAAGATGAGCCATGCACAAATATTGAAGGAGTGATTCGATGGAAGACTTTCTTTTTTATCCTATTATGAATGATGAGTGTAATGACAGAATTCTTTTTGTTGGTTTAGTTTCCATAATATGGTCTGTGATTCTTAAATAACTTGCATGTTTTGTGTGTGATTCATCTTCATGGTGCATTTGGGTGAAAGAGAAACACTAAGTACTGTATAGATGCCATATGCTCCGATTGGGTGACCAGATCAAACTAAAGACTTTCGGATTTCTTACTTATGTTGTGATCTCTTTATTTTCTGCAGGATGCACCCCCAAATGAGAGAAAAATTGCAAAGTTGTGTGAATACGCAGCCAAAAATCCAATTCGAATCCCCAAGGTTGCATTTCGGTTCACACTCAAAGATGTTTACTGCAGAACCCTACCTATGTCTCATCTGTGCCCATCATGTTTTAATAGATTGCCAAGTATCTCGAAGAAAGATGCTGCAAAGAACTGCGGAGTGGTCATGCAAAGTTTATCAATGTTGTCATGGAGGCTTACAATAAGTTGCTTTGTCTTTGTAAGGAGCAGATGTAAGTAAAGCATGCTTTTTTTTCCTATTTATGTTTCATGCCTAAATATACTTTTTTGCTGGTAGAATTCCGTTTATAGCTTTAATGCTGGTCTCTATATCTTCCAGGGCATATTTTGCTGTCAGTTTGTTGAATGTGGTCAATGAGCTGCTAGACAGACCTAATCAATATGCTTTGCTGATTCTTGGATGCCAGACCTTAACCAATTTTATCTACAGTCAGGTAGTGTTCTCTATTCTGACTTCGTACTACCTCAGGCAGTTCAATGGAACAAAATGTTGTAGATGATGTGGTCAGGTGGATTGATTTGATGATTAATGCTGAACAGGTGGATGGAACTTATGCACATAACATTGAAAAATATGCTCCCAGAATCTGTAAACTGGCACATAAGCACGGAGAAGAAGGTAGTCCTGACAGCGTAAGGGCATCAAGTCTCCAATGTCTCTCGGCCATGGTATACTTCTAAGTGAGCTAAAATAAAAATTTGTTCTTTTACGTTTGACATGTGTTGCTAACTTGCTATCTAGAATGCTGCTATCCCGTTTTAACTTGTTTTCTTGTAGGTCTGGTTCATGTCGGAGTTCTCGTATATCTTCCCTGCTTTGGATGAGGTTAGTGCTTTCGAGTAGACCCCCTTGTGTTGTATATTGGGTCTTCGGTTGTTAACTCGAGAATAACTGCAGATTGTGCATTGCACTTTGGATAACTATGAGCTTGACTCTTGTATTGAACATGATGCTGAGAGAGGTGAATCACATCATAATTGGGTGAATGAAGTTGTTAGAAGTGAAAGAAGTACAGTTGTAGGTAATGATTCTAGCTCCACAGCGGTCATCAGAGCTCGACCAGAAAAGAAAGATCCTTCTCTTCTAACTAGGTGAGCATATATATTATATAGGGTGAGTATTGTGGTCCCTTTTTGTTGTTTCCTTATGCCATTAAGCTTTATGTTGTAGGGAGGAGATTGAGCAACCAAGAGTATGGGCACAAATTTGTGTTCAAAGAATGGTAGATCTAGCAAAAGAGAGCTCAACAATGCGATGTGTCTTAGATCCAATGTTTGTCTACTTTGATTCTGCACATCACTGGGCCCCACATCAGGGGCTTGCTCTGGTAGTTTTGTCTGCCATGTCATATTTTCTGGAGAGTGAAGGTACGTTAATAGCATTTATCATTCTGATGTGAGATTAGCAACAATTAGTAAGCTCTAATGGCATTTTTCATTTCCAGGACACCAGCAGTCGGTGTTATCTGCTGTAATTCGCCATTTAGACCACAAGAATGTCGCCCATGATCCACAGCTCAAATCTAATGTTGTACAAGTTGCGGCTGGTCTAACTCGGCAGATTAGATCAGTTAAAGTTCTTGCCGAAGTTGGATTTGTCGGTGACTTGTGTAGGCATTTGAGGAAGAGCCTTCAGGCCTCGGCCGAGCCAATTGGAGATCAGGAATTGGACCTGAATGCCTCACTCCAGAATTCCATTGAAGATTGCTTGCTTGAAATTGCAAAGGGGGTAAGTTAAAACATGTAAAATGTGTTATTTTAATTGGGGTTTCCTTCTAAAACTTGGCCTTCATTTTTGTAGATTGCTGATGCCCAGCCGCTACTTGATCACATGGCCATGTCGCTGGAAAAACTACCATCCTGTGGAATTGTTGCTCGTGCAACCATTCGATCGTTAATGATTCTTGCTCATGTGGTTTCATTGTCTTCAGTTTCCCAACAGGTGATCTTCAGATAAATGGTTCAATATGTTGTTTAAGTATTATTCAGCAAAATAGTTCATGATGGCTATCTAACAAGTTGGCATGTAAATAAATCTCACTGCGATCCTACTAAAAAAATCCATGCAGGCTTTCCCAGAATCACTTCTGGTTCAGCTTTTGAAAGCAATGTTGCATGCAAATGTTGAAGTGCGGGTTGAAGCACATCAGATATTCACAGTTCTTCTTATTCCAAATTCAAACTGTTTTGGACGAGAATCATCTGCACGACCTAGTTACATTTGTGAACCGAGAAGATGGCGTTCCGGTACAGCATCTACATTTGCTTCGATTTCTGCACTACTTGAAAAGCTCCGTAAAGAGAAGGATGGTCCTGAAGTTAATGGAGTGCATGATGACTGCAAAGAACGGGACACCTCAGAAGAAGAGTGGAAGTATGGACGAGGTAGAAAGAACTCACCAAACATTTACAAGATTAGCTCAATAATTGAGAGGACTACGGGGACTCCGGGGTCGGCTGAGGCTGCTGTATGTGACTTCCTAGTTCCCCAACTATCGTCGTTACAGTTTAGGAGCTCCTTATAGGTACTTTCTTTTTTGCAGGAACCATGTGTTTTGACGTTAAATGAGGATCAGATTTCACAGTTGCTTTCTGCCTTCTGGATGCAAGCAAGCCTTCCTGATAACACGCCTCCGAATCTTGAAGCCATTGCTCATTCTTTCACATTGACACTTATTTCTTCTCAATTGAAGGTGGGACCCCAAATATTCTCAAGAAGGAATAGGTCTCTCGAAGATTATTTCCTGTCCCGCTACCCTTTTCTCCCCTCTTTTGCAGTGCCACTCTTGTTTTGTCCTGCTTTTCTACTTTTGATTAATATAACACTGTTGTTACAAGAATGCAAGACCTCTGGTTGATTCAGAAAGTTACTGATGATATGACCTTGTGATTTTGCAGAACACAAATGGAAACGTTGTGGTCCGATTCTTTCAGCTTGCTCTCTCCCTCAGACAGTTGTCCTTGGACTCTAACAATGGTACATATGATTTGTTCATGGCTTACCCAGCTTTAAGAGAATTATCTGTTCAACAACTTGTAGATTCTTCTACTTAACTTAATCGTTTTGTCAGGGATATTGCATCCAACATGCAGAAGATCAGTTTTTGTCTTAGCAATGGGCATGCTAATGTTCGCAGCGAAGACATACAAAGTTCCCGAGTTGAACGACTTGCTCCAGCGATTGATACCTGATGACGTGAGTTATAAAATGCTTTGCAATTTATCTCATATCAGTTAACATATATCTGCGGTAGCACAAGGTTAACTGTAGTTTATATGCTGGATGAATTCAGGTTGATCCTTATATGGGAATTAGCAACGACTTTCAGATATATGTGAAGCCTCAGGCAGACTTGAAAGAATTTGGGTCCTTTGAAGATAATTCATTGGCTATATCAGTGCTAGATGAGCTGCAGAGCAGAATATCTGAATCTAAGATCACTATGATGAACATCTTAGTTCTGAACCTATCTATCACTACTGAGGTACAGAATGAAGCTGGGTTATTTACCAGTTCATTGCCTTCTCTCACTTTGCTAATATATGTGTGTTTGTACTTAAGATGGAACCTGATGAAGTCGCCAGGCAATTGTCGGAACCATTTGCTCCTGATGACATGTTAATGTTTGGTCCACGATCAGTACTTGACCACCACCGCGTGGCTTCTCATTCCAAGGAATCACTCTCCTTCGACGAGGTAATTTTCTCTTTTGGGTGATCATTAACTACAATTTTGAGAGGGTTTGAGTGTCTAGCACTGATAATATTAGCATGTGGCAGGAAATTCCGAGCAATTTGATTGAGGATGATGCCACGAGTGAAGCATCAGTCTCAGACCTGTCTCGGTTCATCCCCAAAATCCCTTCGTCACCTTCTGTCTCGCACATTATCAGCATCGGGAAGCTATTAGAATCAGTATAAGACTAGTTTTTGTATTTTCGTTCATTACTTTTGGTGATCGTGTTTCGAATAAATGTGCTGATGGTCACATGCTTTTTCCAGGCTCTCGAGGTAGCTGGACAAGTAGCTGGAACATCTGTCTCCACGTCACCCCTCTCCTACGACTTGATGGCCAGACAATGCGAAACTCTCGGGACAGTTACAAGAAAGAAGCTCTCGACTTGGTTGGCCCACGAGAATCAGCAAGCTACTAAGCCAGCCGCCGACAAGTACCTCTTACCATCCATTGCAGCGAGCGGGGCTGCAGTACCATGGCAGGTTAAAGAGGAGAAACAGAAACCCTTCTGTCTCTAATCATATATAATGTATGTCTGTCTGGCATAAACCTATTTTTCATTCCTTTCGTGCAGATGTCGTGTAAGAGTGAGGTTGATGGAGGAGAGCTGAAGCAGAAGACTCTAACGGAGCAGTATCTGCCAATTAAGCTGCCACCTGCAAGTCCTTTCGATAACTTCCTCAAAGCAGCTGGATGTTAGTAGCCCTGATAAACCGTGTTAGCTGTACTTGTAATTTCTTGCACCATTTTTCTTAATGTAGGGACGTAGAGCTTTTAGACGCAGACCAGGTTATGTTTGTAGGATATAGTGACGGGTTTCACTAACCCTTTCAAACTCATTTGTTGTCTCTAATGTGTATGTAAGGTAGTACTAACAGCCTTTGCCTCGTATGGATCTAGATTGTTAACAAACTTGTCTTGTCATTTATCAATGTATCTATTTTGAAGTGGATGGAGCAAAACGCACGAATCTCTCTTGAACTACAATTTGAATCGTCTTGTTTTACATCAATTTGAATTAACAGGAGAGCGACAAGTAGAGTGAAATATTACTCTGTAAAGCATTTGAGTCAAGTTACCTCGTTTAAGAAATCCACCATCCAAACATGATCCCTAATGGAACATGGATTGCATCAGCTGCAGCTAAAGCCAAACCACTTCCTCTTAGGAAAGTACAACATTAGGCACAACAGTTTTGGTAGAAGGTGTAAGACACCAAGAGCAGCAGCTACAGTAACCGGAATGGATGTATGTGCAATTTGGGCAAATGGACAAGTTCCTATGCTCCTTTTTCATGGGTTTTGCCTCAGTCTATTTGGTGCTAGCTAGAGGGTTCAAACAACGTTGGTGAGTTGAGTTGAGGACACCAAAATCAGACATATGTGATCTAACTTTTAGGTACTTACCAGTTTACTTTGAAGCATATTCCTCTTTGGCCATCTCTCCCTCTCCTTTTCATTGCTGCCTTTCGACTTGAGATGAGAGTGCTTAGCTAAGTTTATGCAAGTGAAATAGAACAATTTTGGCTTCTGTCCCTTCCAACTTTATTACAAGGGAAGAAAAACACTCTCCTTTCCCAGCTATATGGTGGACATCCTGTAAATGAATCTTGACAATCTGTTTGCAAGAATGCTGGTAAAAGTTAAGGGCTTGTTTGGATGGTGAATGTGCCATTTCATGGATTGTCAACATTGCATGAGATTTGGAATGTAAGGAATGTGATAGGAGTGCAGTGTACTTGTTCATAAGATAGAAGGTGTCTACATTTTATGACACAAAAAATGTGTCACTTCCCATCATCTAGTGATGGCGATGGCGGCGGGGCGGGCGGGTAATATCTACACGGGTCCCGATTGGGGTGGGTCGACCCATCCTTATATATTGCTTTAAAAAACAATATCGATATTTAACTTTTATACAATAACACATTGAGAAAACACTTAATAAATGAACGAGAAATATAGTAGAAGGAATAACTGAGTCTAAATAGTAGAAAGATATAGTGTTAAAATTTCTTTAGGATGAAAATATGATTTAAGAAAAGTCAAAAGAGGATAAATACATATTGATGTTGATACAAATCATGACTGAACGGGTCAAGAACGGAATGAGACAGATCGAGAGCAATACCCATGCCCTGTCTCACGCTACCCGCCTCAAACAGGTCGAGGTAGGTCGGGTTGCATGGATCAGGTCAGAAATTGTCATTACTATTCTCATCTGCAGAAAAATAAAGAGCATTCCATCATTAAATTTTGTCGTTCAACCCATCTTTATAGATAGATACATATGCAAGTAAATGATATAAGATCTTTTCATGAAACCCTCCCAACTGTTCAAATTATTTAGATGAACTAGTTTAGCAAGTCTCCATTTCACATTTTCATTACAAAACATGATCGACCTGACCAAACTTGAGAGCTTGGTAAGGTTTTATTATTATTATTATTATTATTATTATTATTATTATTATTATTATTAAATATGAATAAGAAATGGAGTCATTAAAACACATAAATCTTACTGTCCACTTTTGTTGTTGATAAGAGTGCTCTGCCGCAAATCTCCAATTCAACAAATCCCCTGGTTGCCTGTTACTCACTCTCTTCTCCCTTCTACCATTAAACTCGTCAATTTCTAATCTCCTTTTGTACCACTAACTCTTTAGCTCTTGCCCATTACACTATAGTTACAGAACGTTACACATAGATATGATAGATCTGTACACAAATCATGGTGATGACGCTGGAGATCAAGCTGCTGCAGAAGGACTGCTGATCCTTCCAGAAGCAGAGGTTCATGATCTAGTGGAGGAAGAAGATGACAGGAATATGATCAAGAGGCAGATTTCAAGCCACCCACTCTACCCAAGCTTAGTTTCTGCTCACATCGACTGCCAGAAAGTGGGTGCCCCTCCTGAAGTTGTCTCTCTTCTTGAAGAGATCATGGATATGAGATCATCATCTTCATCAACAGCAGCACACAACTCATCATCTTGCAGCAACAATGTTGATCACCACATCATGATGATCAATGATCAAACGATCGGAGGAGCTCCTGACCGCGATCCTGAACTCGATCGCTTCATGGTATGTCGGCGATTGTACTCTCTAGCTCATATATGTAAGGAGTTGATCTGGTGGTAAAAGCGAGGATAACAAACTTTCAATTCAGTGACGAGTTCTCATAACAAATAGTGCAGTATTTATAGTGAACGTGCATTTTAAATGTGCTTAACCTTTTTAATTGCTACAATTTTTTTCTTCCATGCATAACTTAAAACATTTCGATGCGCACTTAGAATGCATTAGCTGGCCTGGAATGGAAGGAAACGCCTTTTAACTGATTATTTCATTCTTTGTAGGAGTCATATTGTGAACTACTTCATAGTTACAAGGAGGAATTGAGCAAGCCATTTCAAGAGGCAGCAAGCTTCTTGACCACCATGGAATCCCAACTCACCAATCTTTGCAAACTCACTTCCAAAGCCTTGGCTGCTGCAGTCTCCTCCTCCTCCTCCCAACCAGGTAATCATCATTTGTTAATCACATTGGTATGGTATCCAACTAATCCTCCAACCAGGTAATCATCTAGCTAGCTAGCTAGTTTGGTGTAGGCCACTAATTGGCACACTTCTTACCACATTTCTTGCACATAGAGGTGGCAATTTGTAATCCAATCTACTATTTCAATTCAATCCTTCTAATCGAAATTCAATTGGATTGATGTATTCATATATCGTTGGTAAATGACATTCTACTACCTATATTTTGTATAATTTACAGTTTGGTATATAAAATTTTATTTTAAATACGAAAAAATGTCATTGAAAATTATGTTTTTGGTACTTAATTTTTTGCTATGACAGTTTAGTACCTAGAATTTTCAAAAATTACATATTAGTCAATGTTTAGATCTCACTTGGATCCATGATCCAATCCATGAATCCACCAATTCATTTAATCTATGGATCCACCAATCCATGGATCCTCGTCTATTTGCCACCTGTACATGCACCCTTTGTTGAGGTGTGAACCCAACGGTATTGACATTAGAATCGAACAAGTTGATTTCTGGTTTAAATCTCATTGATGTATGTCATTGTGACGAATACTACACTTGTGAGAAGTATTGGTCAATTACAAGCCTTTCATCACCCGTGGCCACGGTTGAACCGACAGTCGTAATAATTGACGATTTATAAAGTCATAAGGGACCATTTTTCGTTAAAACAAAACACCCATTTTGTGCAAATGATTCGAAATCGAAATGAGTTGATAATGTGCTCTCCTTTTTTTCTTTCTAAATGAGTGAAACGTGGCTCGATCGCTAGTGATATTGTATCTTATCTTATGCATTTGCTTGCTGTATTTCGTAGCTGCAAATGATCATGATCAAGATCAAGATCAAGGGCAAGAGGAGCACGCAGAGAGCAGCCATAATTACTACGAGGAACAACAACCATTAGGCGGCAGCAGCAGCCGGCGAGAGCTGAAGGAAATGCTGCAAAGGAAGTACAGCGGCTACTTGAGCAATCTGAGGAAAGAGTTCATGAAGAAGAGAAAGCCAGGCAAGCTCCCCAAGGATGCCACGGCTGCACTCTTGGAATGGTGGACTCACCACCGCAGATGGCCATATCCCACCGTATGTTTTTGTTCAAATATTTATCACGTACATCAGTTGCTTTGATGTTTTCTTTGATTGGTTTTTTTGATGAAAAATGGTGTATATTATATTGTATAGGAAGAAGAGAAAGAGAAGTTGTCAGAGACGACGGGATTGGACCAGAAGCAGATCAACAACTGGTTCATAAACCAGCGGAAGCGCCATTGGAGGCCATCCCAGGATTCGAGCTCCAGGGTTGCTCTCGTCCAACAACACCCGAGGTGAAGGAAATGGACCTTCAACCTTCACTGCAACGTTGGGCCCTGGCCCAATATTGTTCGAAGACTATGTCCAGCTGCAGGCCCATCTGTCAATGTCTTTCTAAGCCTCGTCTTGTTGTGAATGAAAGATGAAATGCGTCGCATCCATTTACAAAAAAAATATATATATATAAAAAAAGATTGGGTACTAAAAATAAAGTAATTGATTAGGGTAAATTGCAAGTGTGGTCACTGGGTTTACAAAAAAAGTTCACGTTTAGTCACTAAAAATATTTAATTCCATTTGTAGTCACTAAAATTAGTTCAATAATTTGAATTTGGTCACTCTCCGTCCAAGTCCGTTAACTTTAGCTGATGTGGCGGTCAATTTTAATAATTGACCGTCAAATGAGTGACATGTCATTTAAAAATATAAAATAAATAAAATGTAATACTTTACTATTTCCAAATCATTTTCAAAATATATAAAAAATAAAAGAAAATCAGAAAATAAAGGTAAATTACGTCTAGCCTCCCTCGCACGTCAATAGTTTTCCAGCCATAGATCCCTTCACCTCCTCTCTTCTCCATTCAGATCTTATCTTCCTCTCAGAATCCACACTCAACACTCCCTCCTAAGATTTGAAGCTCCGTTCCAAAGGTAAGCCCCTCAACAACAACCCCGGTTCACCTCGACGAACGAATCTCAGTATCGGCAACAGAGACCGAAACCCGCCGCCATTTCTTCAAGATCTCCGCCATCTTCTGCTTCTCTGTCTTTTGAGGGAACACCTCCCTCCATTACCTCCCGGTCCCCTTCAATCAGGCCATTGGAGCAACTACGCCGTTCTTCGCCGCGATTTTCGCGTTTTTAATCACCTGCAAGAAGGAATCAATGAAGGTCTATTCGGTGCTAGTGCCGCTTGCTGCCGCTGCTTGTTTTGGTATGGATCAAGATGTAGAGAGAGGTAGTGATTGAAGAGATATGGGTGTTCATCTCAACCTATTTTTATTTTGGTTCTAGAAATTGAAAGAGAGGAGGGGGAGGGATGGGTTTGGGGGGGTTTCATTTTGGTACAGGGTAAATTCGTGTTTAAGATTGGGGCTGAGATATACTGAAGGAAAGATAGGAAAAAACAAGGAATTGAACTGTGTTAGAAGTTAGGAGTACCTAACTATAGTTAACCCGTTTAGGGTTAAGGACTCGGCTAAGTATATATATGTTGTATAGCCGAGTTTAGCTTGTAACGAATACGTACGTAATAAATCGTGAACTCTACTTTGCGCAGTGGACTAGTCTCAACGATCATCGTTAAGGAAACCACGTAAATCGTGTATCTCGTGTTCTTGTGTTTCGGTATTTGATAAGGATTTATCATGGTATCAGAGCCTCGCGCTATTCTTCTCTAAGCTTCCGATTCGTGTTCGTGCTGCTGTCTGCGGATTCTTCTTGTGCCCTATTTTTTGTGCCGCTGCAGATCGTTCTTTCTTCTCGGCCTTGCGTGGTCTTCGTTCGGCTTCTTATTTCTGGTCTTGTGCTGCAGCTTGTTATTCTCGTTGGTTAGCTTCTTGTTTCTGGTCTTACGTTACAACTTTTTATTATCGTTGATTGCTTTGGGTTGCGGGCTGCTTGTTCTTTTCGTTGGCGGCTACGGGTTGAGGGTTGCTTATTATTGTGCTTGGGCTGCTTATTATTCTCACTTGGCTTCTCTTTTCTGGCCATTATGGATTCTTCTCGTGGTGATACCTTCTCCGTCAAATTTACTGGTAAGAATTTTGCCCTTTGGGCTTTTCAATTTCGCCTGCATATTCAAGGAAGGAGGTTGTTGTCCTTTCTCGATGGTTCGGCTAAGCTGCCGTTTGATGATGCTACCGACAAGGCAAAGGAGGATTGGGAAACCTCTAATGCTGCGGTTATGTCCCTGATGCTTGGGTCCATGGATCCCGGAGTAGCCTTGAACTTGCGTGGATTCAATACGGCTGCTGAAATTTGGACGCATCTTAATAATCTCTACTCCAAGCCGAGCGCTTCCCGTAAGTTTGATATTGAGTGTGATCTTGGCCGTTTGACCCAGGGTGATGCTGATGTGAGCGCCTATTATCATAATGCGGTCACACTCTGGACTGAACATGGTCACTTGACCAGCTCTTTACTGTCAAGTGCGGTCTCGGCGGAAGTTATTCGCGAGCGCACTAGTAATCGTATCATTCGGTTCTTAATGAATTTGCGTCCTGAATTTGAAGGGATTCGTGCCTCGCTTCTTCATCGCAATGTTGAGACGATGGATGAGATTCTGGGAGAGTTACTTCGTGAGGAGACTCGTTTTTGTAGTCAAGCGAAACTGGATATTCATGCTAGTGATAACCATACTGCCTTTGCTGTTCAGGGAGGGAAACCTCAGTTTCAACGTACATCAAAGGGTGAGATTATTTGTCACCATTGCAAAGAAGTCGATCATATTCAGCATCACTGTCTGAAACGCAATGTGTGTAACTATTGTAAGCAGGATGGTCATGTGATTTCGGACTCTCCAAAGAAGAAAAATATGTGCAATTATTGTAAGCAGAAGGGTCATGTGATCGCTGACTGTCCTACTCTAGCTCGTCGTGGCCGCGGTCGTGGAAATGGATCTCGTGGTGGCTCTGGTCGTGGCTCTGCTTATGCTATGACGTTGTTAGCCGCGGAACCATCCTCCTCTCTCACGCCGGCCGACGTTCGCCATCTTGTTGAGGAGGCGCTGAAGGAGGCCTTACCCACTGCTCTCACCTCCGCCTTTGCTACTGGTACAGTTTCGTCTTCTTCTCCTTGGAATGTTGACTCCTTCGCCAATAATCATATGACTAGCTCCCGTGATTCTTTTGGCTCTCTTGATACCTCAGTTCCCCGCCTCGATTTGCAAGCTGCGAATGGGTCTCTTATGTCTGTGAAGGGTGTAGGCCACACAGCTCAGCCTAATATACCTTTGTCGGATACTCTTTATGTTCTCAAGCTCATGCCTAGTCTTGTTTCTGTGGGTCAGCTTACTAAAGATGGATGTCGGGTTATATTTGATAGTTCCGGGTGTCTTATGTAGGACATGAAGACAGGGCAGGAGCTCAGGAGAGGGATTAAGAATGGTCGGACGTTTCTTCTGGGTTCCTACTCTCAGTTAGGGACTCAAGAGGTGCGAAGTCTTGAAGGGAGGAAGGATGCGGCATTGCGGCAGTTAGGTGTAGCTGGGAATAAATTGTCGAATTTTCATAGGAAGTATTTGGTTTCTGCAGTAAAATTGTCAGACTGGGATTTATGGCATTTTCGATTGGGTCATCCCAATTCCGTGAGAATTCGTACTATGTTTCCGAATAAATGGTTATCTGGTACTGTTTTGAGTGATCAAGTTAATGAGTGCGTTCATTGTTTACAAGCTAAGATGACGCAACATTCTTTTACTTCGAGCTCTACTTTTTATTCTGATCCATTCGATCTTGTGCATAAGGATTTGTGGGGACCATCACCGGTCACCTCGCGTCTGGGGTATCAGTATTTTGCTCTATTTGTGGATCATGCCATCCGTTTTACATGGTCTTCTTTCTTCTTCAGAAATCAGAGTTATATTCAGTTGCGCAGGATTTTTTGGCCATGATCTCCACACAGTTCAATAGGACTGTCAAGATCTTGCGTTTGGATCAGGGAGGCGAATACACCTCTGGACCGTTACACTATCTCCTGCGCGAACGTGGTATTATTTCCTAGCAATCTTGTACAGGTGTGTCACAGCAGAATGGTTCAGTAGAAAGGAAGAATCGACATGTTCTTGAGCTAACCCGGGCTATGTTGTTTCATTCTTTGGTTCCCTCGGATTTCTGGGTTGAAGCTGTTCATACTACAGTTTATTTGATTAATCGGAAGATCACCCCTATTCTACAGCAACAGAGCCTGTACAAGCGTTATACTCCCGTATACCTACCTATAGCTGGCTAAAAGTCTTTGGGTGTGTGTGTTATGTTCTTCTGACCCGTCGTGAACGAAACAAACTCACTCCCAAATCAACCAAGTGTCTTTCTTGGTTATTCAGAGACTCAAAAAGGGTATGTGTGTTATGAAGTTACGACAAGGAAAATTTGAGTCTCTTGTCACATTGTATTTCTTGAACACCTGTTGTATTTTGGGAGCTCTGAATTCGCATCATCACCACCATCAGACTCTTGCGCATCCCGGAGCTGCCCACGTCCCTAGCTGCTGCCGATTCTTCACTTGATGATCCCTCTCCGTCCTCACCCTCACCGGTCACATCTTCGCCCAGTTCCTCCTCCGTCCCTAGTTCATTGGACAACTCCTTCACCCCTAGTTCCTCTGACAATTCGTCTCCTTCCTCGCCTATCTCTTCCAATAATAGCCAGCACTCGTCCGCAAGTACAAGTACGAGTACAACCTCCTCCCAGCAGTCCAGTAACTCCTCCGTGTCGTCCTCTTCGACGGATACCCATCTGGCGGTTAATGAAGACCCTCTGTTGCGTCGGTCTAATCGGTCAACTAAGGGGCAACCTCCACTTCGTCATTCAAACTTTGTGGCGTTCTTGACTCCCTCGACTCCCGCAATCATCACTCCTGCCTCATATAAACAAGCCAAGGGAAAAGCTGAATGGGATCAAGCCATGAATGTGGAAACCAAGGCACTTGAAGCCGCTCATACGTGGGACTTAGTTCCTCGATCTCCTGAATTTTCGGTGATTGGTTGTAGGTGGGTGTATACTATAAAAATGTATCCCGATGGTATCGTTGAGCGGTTCAAAGCTTGGTTAGTGGCACAGGGGTTTCTCTAGGAGTATGGTATTGATCATGACGATACTATTGCCCAGATCGCTAAGATGCAAACCATGCGTAGTCTGTTGGCTATAGCTGCCATGAAGAATTGGCCGTTAATTCAGCTGGATGTGAAGAACGCATTTCTTCATGGTGACCTGAAGGAGGTTATCTACATGGAGCTTCCTCCTGGATATACGAAGGGTGATAGTTCTTTGGTTTGTCTCCTTCGTCGGTCATTATATGGTCTCAAACAAGCTCCCCGCGCATGGTTCGAGAAGTTTCATTCTATAGTTGTTCAGGCTGGTTTTGTGCAAAGTGACAGTGATCCGTCTCTCTTTCTGCGTACTACGGTCCGTGGATTAACAGTTCTTTTGATATACGTGGATGATATGGTGGTGAGTGGTGATGAAGTGGAGGGAATTAAGGAGGTCACACAGACGTTGCAATCTGCATTCAATTTGAAAGAGCTGGGGGATCTCTCGTACTTTCTGGGGCTTGAGATTCATTGCTCTTCTGATAGTATCCATGTTGGACAGCGGCAGTATATAGTTGATTTGCTGGAAGAGGCGCAAATGGATGAGTGTGTCCCGTGTGCTACACCTATGGAATAGAATCTTAAGCTTTGCCAGGGAGATGGAGATTTATCGTCTAATGGATCATTATATCGAAGTATAGTCAGCAGCTTGATTTATCTAACTCACACTAGACCTGATATCTCGTATGCAGTTCAAGGGGTGAGCCAGTTCATGTCTGCAACAAGGACAACTCACTGGTCAGCAGTTCAGCGTATTCTGCGCTATCTACGTGGAAGCCAGGACGTTGGTATGTTGTTTCCTGACGGAGGGGAGTCTGTGGTTGAAGCGCATGCTGATGCTGATTATGCTGGTTGTCTAGATACACGACGTTCTACATCGGGATGGTGTGTGAAAGTGGGTCAGTCTTTTATTTCATGGAGATGTAAGACGCATGATCGTGTGTCCAAGTCCTCGACTGAAGCTGAGTATCGGTCTATGAGTGAGGTAGCTTCTGAGATCACTTGGTTATGTCGATTACTAGCAGAGTTGGGTGTTCAGGTTCGTCTTCCTGTTCGGTTGTTTGTGGATAACACCAGTGCAATTCGTATAGCTACGAATCCAGTCTTACATGACAGAACGAAGCACATTGAATTTGCCACATCAGCGAAAGTTAACGTACTTGGAAGGAGAGTTACCAAACTTGAATTATTGAAATAATTTTAGTGACCACGAATAGAATTAAATATTTTTAGTGACCAAAATTTGACATTTTTGTAAACCCAATGACTAAAATTGCAAGTAACCCTAATTGATTGTTGGCCAAAAAAAAAGGTTTAAAGAATCCTCCCTCCCAATCATATATGGAGCTTCTTCGGCAGAACCCACCCCATTCTATTTTTACTGTGTTGTGCGCATAGTAAGGAAGGGCCACCTTGGTACTTTTGCTAAACTCAATTAAATAAAGATGAAACTCATTACGAGACAGCTTATTTTCAGCACCACATTGGAAACATATTACTGGAAGGAGGAAAAAAAACTTGTGGCATTGGAAACATATTAGGGGTCGTTTGGAGAATGGGATCCAGGACATGGATTCACTAAATCCGTAGATTTTGTAGAAAGTTATGTTTTTTGTTGCTTTTTGTATTGTGGATTTTAGCTTTAGAGATTTCAAATCTCTAAAATATGCAGATATCAAATCTCTCATAATCAGAGAGAATCTATATCTTGATTCGTGATTTTTTTTTCTCCTCGTTTTTCTCTTCCTTTTATTTATTCATGGGCTGACCCAAGTGGGTGAAAGAGTTGTCAATTGACAAACCTTGGATCCAATTTGGGAAACCAAAATCACTGTAAAATTTTGTTTTAGTGATTATAGTATTCAAATATAAGATTATTTGACAACCCTTAATGATTTTGATCTATGGTTGAATACCCTTGATTACATTTCTGGGTCCGCCACTGTATTTATTTATCACATGAAATATATTTATCAACAAAATTTTTAATATTTCTTAAACCACTCTAACTTTTTTATTAAGGATAAACAAGTTATTTAATATAACATTAATTTTTTTTTATTGAATGTTAACAATCACAGTTACCAAACACTAAACATTTTAAAATCTGTTTTCAACAATCCGAAGAGTTAAAATCTTTAGATTGTTGACAATCGGTAGATTTAAACTCATATTCTGCAAACAACCCCTTACTGAAGGAGGAAACCAACTTGAGTATTAATTAATTACTGCTCTTCCACTGATATTAATTAATTACTACGCAAATACACTTTTTGTTCCACTCCTATTATACAACGTTCAGTTTTCGCAGAGGAATGAGAATTAATACAAAAAATAATTAATTAATTTTCAAGTCAATAATCTGAATATCGTATTATTGAAATCGAGTTCAAATTTTACATGTAATTTACCAAAATTTCAAATTTTAGGGGGCTGTAGCTACTCCTAATTTAAACCTAGCTCCTCTACTGACCGTTTGAATGAGATAGAAAAATAAAATAATATTTAAAATTATTTATTGAATCTCAACTAATATATCTCTTTAGATCGATTGGTGTGAGTGAGCAATGCACATTTCTTATACATAGATAATATATTTCTCACCCTTGCTATTTCACCGGTTCCATTATGATACATAAAGCAAGAAAAATTTGAGGCCTACGCAAGAAGCATTAGTAAATTTTGAAACGTTATGTGATGGAGATTAAAAATCATCAATCATGGAGTCCAGAAAAGTTTGATTAAACGAAGTACATCCAAAATAAGATTTATTGTACATTGAGTTAAAAAATGCATGAGTCATATATATCATCATGTATATATCACTCATATTTTTTTTTTGGAGTCATATATATCACATGTACATATATATGTATACAAAAAATGCTAATAAGCGTTTGTATTATTTTAAATAAAGACATTATAGATTCTTGGTTTTTAGTGAATTTTCACTAAATTTTTTGAATGTAACTAACGTGAATGTTCATACCTTATTTTAATATAAATCATCGTGATAGTATTCATTAGATTAGAAATAGAAAATTTAAGATAAATAATCAAAATTATTCAGAAGAAGTTTATAGATAAATCAATATTCACATTCTTTTAATTTTTAGTATATTAATAAGGTGATAAAAATAATTAACTTTCTCAAATAATAGTATACAACAACAACAAGGTTCATAAAAAAAAAAAAATAGTACACAACATGTAAAATTGTTAAAATTTTCCTTTATCCGCCCAACAGGTCGGACTTTTGTCTAGTTTAACTTTACCGTTCAGCGGAAGAATGTAATGCGGTGAAGTTAAGGAAAAGTAGGTTAATATTTTTAATATTTGCTTGCACAGATGGTAATTGGTCCAGTCCGATTTAAATCGAACTATATATACAATTTTATGGTTGAAACAGAAATGTCAGAAGCAGGGCCGACCCACAATATTCGGAGGCCCTTTTCAAAAATTTAAAATGTGGCCCTAAAATTTAATATAAGACTTCAACAACTTCGATTTCGAAAAGCTTCTTTATGCTATAGCAACATTCACAGAAATAGTTAATAAAATTCTAAAAAATATGCTTGCATTAGAAAAACACAATCGAAAAGTTTTAAGAAGATTAAAATTTCAAAAATATAATCATATAACTATGTTGAATAATTCAAAATAATCAGTAGCTTTACCACAAGAATTAGCCATATCACATAATGTCAAACTATTTATTATTGTTTTAATTATTTTTTTCTTTATACTATTGGTGGCTTGTACCTAACTATTTTGGTTAATGTTTAATAAATAAATATGAATTATTTAGTTAATTTAGCATTACTTCCTTGGTAGTACAAGCAGATTAATTGCCGAAATTGAATCCTTTTCCCCTTGGAAAGCTGAAAATGAAGAAAGTTAAAACAACAAATTTAATAACGATAATAATGAGGTATCATGAATTATATGTATAAGAAAACAAGTATTCGCCTCATGTGATTCGTTCGTTCCTTTAACCTTCGGACTTAAATGTTTTATTATTGTTTTACACCCATAATCAACCCAATTCATACATTTTCTATCGTTAATTTATAATCAAAATCTAATAATCCGTAATAGTAATTAGTCATATACATCATTGAGGTCCGGAGGCCCCCAAAATTTGGAGGCCCTGTGCCGAAGGGCCGGCTGGCACACCCTCTGGGCCGTGGTCAGAATACAAATCATAAACCACATCCAAATATTGCACAGTTTAGGTGAGGGCCAAAAATTGAACAAATAATTAGAGGAATACTAGTTTGGTACCCGGTCCGTTGGCCGGGTAAATTTTGTTAGAAATATGTACTTTGGTATTTTTTTTCCTCCTAAGGTGTCTATTTTGTTTAGTCTGTCATGTCCTCTCTCATTCCGAATCGTGTATACCTTTGAGTCCGACCAGTTAGCCGCTAAATGATTTTTTTAAGGTAAATTAGTTTGTACCGCATGACAATATTTTAGCACTCATGAAATTGTTGTGCATTATTATTATGATATTACAAAATTAAACATTGATATAATTTAGCAACTCAGTAGAATAAGAAATTTGTTCTCCGATCTATGTTAGTATATACTTTATGGCGGTACATGAATAACTAAAAAAACTAGATACTCGATAAATGGGAGATAGAAAAGTATAAAACGAACTAGAAACCTCTCTCATATGGCAGGTCTCTTTGTATGTGTTGTCCGGAAAGAGGAGGACTCCATGATTATTCGTTCGCCGGAACCAGAAGTCAAAATTTTGGTAGATAGGGATCCCGTCAAAACTTCTTTTGAGGAATGGGCCAGACCTGATCATTTCTCAAGAACAATAGCTAAAGGACCTGATACTACTACTTGGATCTGGAACCTACATGCTGATGCTCACGATTTCGATAGCCATACCAGTGATTTGGAGGAGATTTCTCGAAAAGTATTCGCAACTAACGAATAAGAACATGCCTTGTAAATATATGATTGTGGCTATGTTTTAAAAAAAACATATATAAATAGGGTATCCTTGTGTAGATCACATAAAATCTGATTTTTTCGCGCATAATATTTAAATTTGGAGTTGAAACGAAATAAATATGGATCAATTAAGAATAGTAGGGGAGATTCAAAAAGGAGAGAGAGAGAGAGTTAAGTGGCACATTCTAATTGGGGTATATAAAAATTTGAAAGAAAAAAAAAGGAATTAAGATAAAATCTAATTGGTCGGAAGGGTGCTGACGTGGATGCATAGGAGGGCTGGAATTTTGAAATGGTGAAGGTAGTTTTTGGAAAAGCCTTTATATATTTTTTAGAAGATAGATATAGATGCTTGTCTTAAAACTTAAGTGCCAACAGGTATGTGTAATTGCTATACCATAAATTCAAGTACATAACAAGACACAAAGTTAAAGCAACCGAACTGCATTACACATTAATATAGTTTTATACGGAGACACGATCGTCTATACTTTCAGGTGGAATTTGGTTTGTGAATGAAGAAGAGGATGAGATTCTCGAACTTAGGGTTCAACCTTTGATCTAGTAAGAAAAAGCACATGATCGAACAAGCTTTTTTTTTTTTTTTTACAACAAACATCATTCATTTCATTCCGAACCCAAACAAGTGGGAAGAATTACAATTACAATAATGGAGCAACAAGGTTGGCAATGACAGTCCATTCCGGAGGAAGAAGATCAATCGGATTCAAGGAGAAACACAAAGAATGGAAACCACACGGGCAAAGATTGCCCTGCACTGCCAGGGCCAAAGGCTCGGATTCTGTCTCAACGCAATTGTCAGCCTCTGACAGTCAGACCTGATACACGTTGAGACTGGATCTTGGACCGCCAAGATAACTGCATTGAGAATTGCAAAAGTTTCTGCCTGAATCGGAGAGGAACAAAAGAATTTCTCAGCCCTTCCGTCGATAATCTAACAGTGGGAGTTAGCAATAGCAATTTCATAAGTCGCCACCTATACATCAGAGACAAATGAACCATCACAATGCACAACCTTTTTGAAAGGAACAATCGTTGATAAGTTCATCGACCGAGAACTCTTAAGCTCATAAGGCAAACTAACTGACGTAGAAGAGGAAGAAACTTGACCAATTAAATTTCAAACGATGTGATCTATTTTTCCGATCTTACCCTTTATTATTCACTTCCTTGTTTTCATTCCCTTTCTTTTTTGTGTGTCAAATCAGTAAAAAAAAATCGCTGGAACAGTAGAGCATCCACGCGCCACGTCATCTGGCCCCTTAATAACCGTCCGAACGTAAAGAACTTCCCGCGCTCGCCCACTCACTCATTTGCCCTACACGACGCCGTTTCTATCCACGTCGATACCGTCCAAGCTAGCCACTCGGACGGCTTGCGTGCGCGAGCCTCGTGCAGAAGTCTGCCGAGAGTTCGACGGATTCACCTCGCACGAAAAACAGAGAAAAGACAAAGCCACATAGCAACCGCCTCGATCTTCCCTAAATCGTATTCCCCAAAACTCGACATCCCGCCGCCGCGGCAACCTCAATCGACGATGATTCCGGCGTCAGGGTTCTCCATGATTGCTTGCGGTAGCCGGACGCGCGATCGACGGCGGCGCAAGCCACAATGGCGGCGGAGTTTCTGATCGCCGTATCGGAAGGTGCTAGCTGACTCAATTACGATCGATCTTCGCGGATTTTAATCGGCGCCAGCAGGGGAGACTAACGCACGCAGTCGACGGAGAAACGGAACAAAATCGGCGGGCGCGACGGGCGGCTTGTCGTCAAGGAGGACTTATATAATACGTTTCTCCGTGAATTTTTCGAATTTCCAGGTGAGTTCTCCTCCGTCGCGATTTCTCTCTGTAATTCTGGAATTGCTTGGTTGTGAAAATGATGATGGGTGTCCCGTGTCCCCGCATTTTGCTAGGGTTTTAATTAAGTAATGGGTTTGTGGCGACACCATATATGGCGTAGGTTTAATTTTATTGTTTGGTGTTCTTTAAGGGATTCAAACTTAGAACTTCGGGTTGAAGACCAACGATAGAATCACTAGACTAAACTCTTGTTCGCTTTGCTGCTGGATTGTTAATGTTACCCAAAACCTAATGATACCATCATAACGACCTTGATTAAACTTGACGTGAGTGGTCTCTCATCAAATGTGATGATTAATCATATCTCCATAGTCAGAGTATAGTGTTAGAAGGAGCATACTCTAGTGGACTGTGCTTTGGTGTGTTGAATGCTTAGATCTCAGCCTTCATTTCCTTCCTCCTTTAGCTGCGACTGCAGCCGCCTTTTGTGGTCATATGTACTCCAAATTCAACTTTGATAAGGCCTTCACCTTCCTTTGATTCTTTCTTCCTGTGGATCAGTTTTCTCTTGACTCCTGTGCTATAGCTGAGGCCACAAAATGGGCCAAGTAGTATGCTGCCAAAAGAAGAAACTGTTGACAGAAACCATGTCTATCCATTTCAACTGAGTCCAAGTTGAAAAGACTGGCCCTTCTTTTGGTGTGTGGTAGTATAGATAGTATACGGTTTCTCACAGGATAAGATAATAGCTTGTATTACTATTCTACATCCCTAGCTACCTGCTTCAGTTTCAACCAACAAGTGACCCTTATTATTCCCTGCAAAGGGTCAAAGGGTATTGGGAAAAGGGAACCGTTTGAAGCCTTGCGAATCTTACCACCAGCTACATTGACCCAACAAGAATACTGACCAGGACTCTTTCACAGCAAAGAGATGTTGAAAATTGGGGACCTTTTTATTTCTCACGAACTTCAGCACAAACACTAGCATAATATTACAGGCAAGAGGGGAACACGTTAGGCATCCATGATAGTCATATAAAACTAAGATGCAGTCTTAGTATAGCAGTAGCAGCTGCAGCAGCAGTAATAGTAAAAGATGTTTTCCCACAATGAAAAGGGGAAAACCAAATTTTCAAGAAGAAGAAGAAAAAAAAAGATGCATATGAATGATTTCATAATTAACACAGACATGGTGATGATTTGTAGATGATGATGTTTCAGGAGAGCTGCTCTTCCATGGTCAATTCCTCGATCATCATGCAACCATGGTGGTTACCCAGCGGCTTGAAAGCTGCAATCTCCGAACACTTGCAGGAAGGAACCATAAAAGTCTGCTGCTGCTGGTGATGGTTATCATTGATCAGCTGCATAGGGGCCAGAGGCGCCCGCGCCACTTGCTTACGGGCGACCACGACCGAGTTGATCACCTCATCCGTCGGGTGGTAAACCGACAGAACCTCGAACCCTTGAAGATCATGGCTCGGCTCCACCACAGGGTACAGAAACGCCCTGGCTCCGTGGGCGCTTCTCAGCATGAGAATCGCCCCCGGAGCCATGTGCTTGGCCAGGTGGCGAATCACACCCAGCTTCATTTCCTTGTCCATCCCCACCAAAGCCGCCAGGAACACCACATCGAACTCCTTCAGCTCGTCGCTGCCAAGCTCCATCACATCCACGGTGTGGAAGAACATCCGAACGGACAGGTCAGGGTCCGACGACACCAGCGCCAGAGCCAGCTCGTTGGCCCTGGCGTCGATGTCGTAGTTGTGGAACGAGGTCGTGGTGAGGTGGTTGGTGGCGAGGACGATCGAGGTCAGGGGAAGCGGTCCTGAGCCCAAGAAGGCGACCCTCTTGGGAACTGAGGAAGATTGTTGCTGCTGCTTGAGGAGGTTGAACTCGAGGAGGCTGAGCTTGAGGTAGTTGGAGTAGTAAGGGAAGATGTCGAGATGGTGGAGTGGTTTCTCGTGGGAGCCTAAGATGGCAGAGTAGTGAGACTCGAGGTGTCCTTCGGCCTGTCCGCAGAGCTTGATGAGGTTGGACCTGATCTCCTGGACCTTGTGGCAGAGTTTGTTGACGTCGATGGGGGAGGGAGGGATGCACGTGGAGACGAGCTGGGTGAAGAGGGTGTCGACATCTTTGGAGGGTTTGAGGCTGTCGAGGGCAGAGATTTGGTCGTAGAGGTCGCACACGGTCTTCACCAGAAGGTCTTGCTGCTGGCAAGCTCCCATGTCGACACTATGAGGTTATGGTATGAGAGAGTGCAAACAAAAACCGTTGTTTCACTCTTTGCTTTCTGTGTGTGTGTGTGTGTGTGTGTGCAGATTGCAGAAGAGGTTGAAGAGAAAGGCCGTCGTGAGGTCACTATTTATGGGGAGAATGTGGGGGCCATGAAGGAGACGAGGATTGGCCAGTTGCCTGGTTCGATGCTTTCTTTAATAATATAGAAAGAAATGGAGGGTGTAGTATTAGTCTACAGAGTAATGGTTTGGCCAATAATTTGCCGCTTTGCTTGGTTCGTATAGTTTATTCTTCTTTCACTTTCATGCCGTGTTAAGTGTCGAGCCCAAGGAAGAACTGTTGTTTCGATGTATCCAATGAAGTGAAGGTGGTGTTTTTAAAATTTACAGGGACAAGAATGAAAAGCTTATCTTTTAACTCTTGTACTTTTAGGGTTCATTCTTGGGCAGGATGTTCTGATAAATTAGGGCAAATCTCTCTTTTTTTTTTGTTGTTGTTGTTGTTGAAATTAGGGCAAATCTCTGTGGTATATATAGAACTATTTTGCAGGAAAATATTATCCTATGCTATCCATGTGTAGGTGACTTGGGTTAAACTCCAAATAACAAGTTATTTGGAGTTCTTAACCCGAAACTTATTCTTAACGTATGCAATCTTGTCGTTTGAGTTTTATTCATTTTTGACATGCACATTTGACAAGTGATCTACAAGTTTTCGTCTTTTTTTGACATGCACATTTGACAAGTGATCTACGAGTTTTAATCTTATTTTTAATAGGTAGGTAATTTCGATGAGATTGATATGGTCTAATTGTTTCATAATGTGGTATTTATGCTAAAACGACTAATTTTACAATCATTTAAAGCATTTTGACATGTGACATTAGAGATGACTTCTTTTTGCAATTAAGTAAATTGCTGGAGGCTATGCATTTTGTAGCTAAAACAAGTTACTGGATCCAAATTGTTTCGTTTCATAGAAACCTTGTGATCAATTTGGTAGCTTGAATTATTTCTTAAGAAAAGGTTTAGGTAAAATAGGATTAATGGAGAGGGAATGGAGAAGTAGGTAGGGTTCGTTAATTTGTTTTTGTTTAGGACCACAATGCTGTCTCTCCATACTCCATAGCCTCTTTTTTGGGAAATGTGATCAAACAACTTACCACTTTTTTATTTTTTATTTTTATCTCACTGAGTCAAATGTCCAACAAACGAACGATACAAAACAATTAACAATAAATCCAAAGTAACCTCCACTACTACTACTACTACTGCTGTGCTGCCTGCTGTTATTGTCCTTGAGCAAGCAGTGACTAAAGGGTAGGCCCTCGATCACCTTTTGCTGCATGGAATGGAACCTTTTTAAAACTACTGTCACTGGAAGTGATTCCCTAAGTGAAAGAATGTCGACATTCTCGGAAAGATGAGCATCCATGTTTTGTTTTGTTTTTCTGATTTTGGGGATTTGATGTGGTTATTCGTAACGTAAAGTACTCACATGTTTATCCCAGCCTTGCATTTTTTAGTTGTTGCTAGCAAGATACACATGGGGTGCATTAGTACATTGTACTTCTGTGTTTGAGCAGTAGTAGTACATGAGTACTTAATTATGCCCTAGCTAGGTTAGTGTGTAGATATTTTCGAAATATCTCGATTCCGCGCATTGCAAAATATATACGAGGTTGATATCCCACTTATGTGCATTGTTGTTGATTTTCTGCAGATAGATTAATCATTTCTTATGAAACCTATGATCGATGCCATTGACGTTTATCTTTCTAAAATTTATTTTTGCTGCTAAGATACAAGTCACACCAACAACAAGGTTGTAATCAGTTATGGTTGAGAGTTGAAACTTGGAAATGCAGTGTTGTTGGATTTGCCGTTTTTTTAGGTTAAAAAATGATTAAAAGAGACTGGCTACATATATTGTTCGTTAGCAAAAAAAAAAAATCAAGGCGAAACTTGAAAATTGGAAGAGTGTTCAATGGTAAATTTTGGTTATTTTGTGATAGTAAACCTTTTCAAATAGAATACAAAAATTTCAGACTAAAACTCACCGAGTTTCAAGTTACTTTTCATCTCGAGTCATAAGCAGCAGAAGTTCATCATCTCTCTTATTATCACCAGACCATCATTGATCAAATTGGGTAGATATCAAACTCTCCTGATTATTGGATCTTTGTGCTTTCACACACAATAATCTGTGATGTCACTTACCGATAGGTTTTGCAATGGTTTCTTGCAAAAACCAACAAACTAACGGCAATACCAAATACCTATTATTAATCATCTTGCCAATGCCACCTATTATATAAATTTCGTTTTCTGTTTCCAATTTTCTTATCACATTACATTATAGAATCGACAAGAAAATGATTAATCTATCTGCACTGCAGAAAATCAACAAGCCAAGCCCTCACATGGGACGAGATCGATCAAGCTGGTTGATTGTAGGTTTATTTTATCGCAAGCCCAAATGTTGACTACTTTGTCCTCCAACGAATAATTAATTATCTTCCTCCTCGTGTTATATATATATATATATATATATATATATATATATATATATATATGGTGGCTACTTCGGTGCACTCACAGAAATGAGTGCGTTCAATGCACCCAACTCAAAAATAGTTTTAAGGTGTCGGATTTTGAATTTGAATTTGTAGAATTAGTGTAATATGATGATATAACATTGATAACAACTAATCAGCGGATTACCCTAAGCCCTAGACCTCCAATTTTGAGTTCTATCCCTAAACCCTAAATTGTAAACCCTAACCCCAACCCTAAACCTCTAAACTCTAAATCCTTCAAATTAAAATAAATCTTCAATGGTTTTTGTGCAAATTCATGTGCGTTATTGTTCATCACATCATAAGTGATGATTGACATCATTTTGACATAAATCGCATGTTTAAAATGGCGGTTATAAAGCGAGTGCACTAAATGCACCCAAAAAAGTGAGTGCACCGAAAACGTCACCATATATATATATATATATATATATATATATATATATATATATATATATATATATATATGAGTTCTACGATACCCAGAGTAAAATCTGGGGTACCGCATATCTTGAGTAAGAAAACGCTATCCAGAACTTGAATTGACTGATCTTTCGGACATGATACTATAATCTAACCCTTAAAGATCAAAATCTAGGTCTTAATTCTCTAAATCTTATACCCCAAGATCAATTTAATTAGAATTAATAATCGACGGTTATGATTCGTCCAAATATAGGCAAAAAAACCAATGCACCATCTTAGGGTTTATTGTTTATGAATTAGATAATTAGGACCTAGGGTTCACTCATTAAGGGTAAGGGTATAGTATCATGCCCAAAATCTTGTTAATTCGAGGTCTAGATAGCGTTTTCATACTCAAGGTATGCGGTACCCCGAATGTAGAAGGCACCATATATATATATAAAAGTTTTTTTCATGGATCTCTTTACTATGTGTTATGTTCCTTTATGTATATTGACATATAGAAGGTGGGAGTAATGTATAAAGCCTATGTTTGGCATGGCTTTTAAAAGTGCTTTTCGGCTTCAAAAGTTTAAGTAGGGCCAAACACCTCTAAAAGCTCGGCTTTTGAAAAGCCGAAAGCGCTTTTGTATAACATAAAAGCAGAAGCTCCGATTTGGAATTTTTATTCATATTTTATATTATAAGTCCTTTATAGTCATTTTACACAACCGCTCATATAAAAAAGCACTTCTAATAGTTTTACAGCCAAACACTAAACTGTTTTTATTTTATTTTTAAAAGTACTTATCTAAAAGCTCCAGCCAGAAGCTGTTTTTGCAAAAGTTACCGCAGAGCCAAACTAAGCTAAAGTGTGCATCCTCTAAAATAATTTTTTAGGTTGCATTTCGATTGGCTTATTTAAAATGTATCTATCCGAAATGTAGGTATTTAGAATTTTTTTTTTTCAAATTTATTGTTTGGGCGTTCATTTGCAACGTTTTGGTATTTTAGTGAATTTGTTTCTTGATTTTGAGTTTTCTGGTCGCACATTACAATTAAAAAAAAAACTGTAGTATCCTTATTCCCCCCCCCCCCCCCCCCCCCCCATAATTTAGTACCAAAACTTTGATTTTTTTTTTTGGTATAAAAGGTCCAAAAAAATTTATGGTAAAATTATAATCACGACCGAATTATATAGTTGAAGAATATATCTACAGTTTGAGTTACATAGGTTTCGTGATTCACACTTAAAGCTACACGCTTTTGAGGAATTAGATCCATTCATATCTAGATAATTTAACACCCCCAATCTTAGTAAGTACCGTGATAAGGTAGATAATTGATTGGAATATAACCAACACATAGAATAAAAAAAATTCTAAAATAAAGATAGTCCGATTATTCTTTTTACATGTATAAGATTCGAATGTGACAAAACAGATCGGGGAAAATATCTCGGTATCTATACATGTTATGTGGCAAGTTGGATCCAACTCAAATATTTTACTTTGGATATGAGTCACGCCAAGTCGATGCATACGAGTACTTATTCCAAAGAACACTTAAGGCATTAATAGTTTCATTAAAAAAAAACAAGAAACAAGCTATGGCATGATATATTAAGTTAAATTGTTTGAGAAATGAAAGTTCTCAACTCATCATAACTTTATTATAGCAAAAAATTGATGCAACCAACGTAAAAACTGAAGTGATTTAATTAAAATTATATATAGTTTAGACAAAAATGAATTGAAATAGGACAGTTAAGGACAAGTACGGTCGAAACAAGTACCTATGATTGCCTTACTCACTCCAAAACATGACAGATAGATCACATAGGACGAGTTAGATCAAAATTACCATGCCAATGACAATGATTTGAATTTGGTCCTAAAATGAGGATTAATTTTAAAAAAATTAGGAGTCACTAAGTCACACTATACACTATAATTGATTTTTGGGTCGCCATCATTTATATCTATAGGCTTGTTTGTGATGGAACATGCCGCATAAAATGAAAATAGCAACATATAGGAAAAAATGATGGATTTTGCTTATGGGGTCGTTTAGAAGTTTATGAAATGTTTTATTTACACAAATTGGTTTTATTACAATAAAAAAAGTTGGCATGAAAGTGTTATGTAAATAATTTAATTTAATCTAACCTATGAGTGTGAGTGTAAAATAAACGATGGGTTTCTAGTCCAGCCATATTCGAGATGGTAATTATCGGGTATGCATGTGTTAGATTTGGAATTTCATATATTTCATAGTTCTTCCTTTCTTATCTTTTTATTATAATTGAGGTTATATATTTTATTTAGATAAATCAAATTAAGAGAATATAAATACGAGTATGAACCAATTTCTAATAAAGATGGTAATACAAAGTGTTTTGATTAAAAAAATATTATCAAAAACCATATATATATATTATCAAATTTACATAATATCACTCCAAACAAATAAATAGATCAAGTAAAATATCGAAATAGTAATTAATATCTGTTTGAGCCTAACTAGGTGTAGGAGGGAGACTCGGGAAAATGGGTCAAGGAGAGTAAGCAATGGGGAAATAGTCGTTTCTGGAGAGATTCAGGGGATTACGAAGAGAGTTGAGAGAGAAATGATCTTAGAGATTGATGATTTTGGAGATAGAGTCCCCAAAAATCCGATCTCCTCACCCACCGGAGTTAATGCCTTATTTATAGGCTACATGGTGGTGGGTGAGTTACATGGTGACCTGTCATAGTGACATGACTACTGACATGTCAGAGGATTAGGCCATATCGCTACCTAGGACAAGTACACTTAGCCTTTCATCATACCTAGGACCATGATGTGACCACTAAGACCATGATGTGACTACTCGATAGGTGGGATACGACGCCGCTTCTCATTCACGTCGCTTTAGTCGTTGCTAGGCTCGAGTTCCCCTTGGGCGCGCTGGCACTGAAGCGCCCGTCCGTAGGTGTTCGCGCTCGCCTATGCTCTTGTTCGCGCCGCTGTCGGTGCGCCCGTCTCTTGGTGTCGGTATTTCTTTAGCGCGGCGGAATCCGAGTCACATGCCCAACAATATCATTTCGTGGCCAAATTATGATTAGTTGTAATTTTCATCATACACATGTAATCTTTGACAATACGTTTTTATCATTATTTTGTATATATAAGGGCTATCTTGATTAATTAATCCTATAAAATTAACAAGGGAAAGGGTGGCCTTACACTAAATTGGATGGCCACTTCTTGAAATATATATTAATTAATAAACCAAATGTTGACATTTCATGTCATGGATTTTGTTTGTTTCTTTTGTGGGTTTCTTTCTGCCTTTAATTTTGTCCAAAATAGACTAATAGAGAGGTGGAGATAAGATGCATGGAGAGGTAGTGCTCTCTTGTTCATTGCTTTCAAGTTTCAACCCTCAACTTTCAACCACGACCATTGGCTTTTATGTGCTTTATTTCTTGCTCTTTTCCCCCCTTTATTCAATGGCCAATATTACATATTAGAGATTTTCGATTGTAAAATTTTCTTTTGTGTAGGGAATAATGATGTCAAGCACTACAAATTGAATGGCGTTCAATCCTTGGACGACAAATCAGGTTCTTCATCAACCTCCATTTTTGGTGCCAACATGTGGAACCTTGCTTGCTTGTTGCTAATTTGCAAAGGGCAATTAGCATATGAATTGACATGTTTGTCGTCGTAGAAACGACAAGGAATGACTCCACGACTTAAAGTACATTACAAATACTTATGTAAGTAAAGTTCATCTTTAATTCAGTAATTGGTTGTTTTCTAAATAAATATGTAACACTTAAAACTGAAGGAAATACGAGTTGGAAAGTACAACCGAAGGAAATGGAAACACTTGTCAATCTACATGGACTCATATATGAGGCTTGAGATGTGTGTATAATTGTGTTACTACATTAACATCGTTAGCTCAGAAGACTATTTGTAAGAAACGTTTGTAAGAAACAGAGAACTCTGAAACACATTTTGTAAAAGAACATTAAATAAGAGTGCCTAACTCAAATAATGTGCATAAAAAAATCAAGTTGAGAATCAAGTAGTAGCTAGAGTGAAGATATTTAGCTTGATTTTTGTAGGAGGATCTCATACTTTGAAATATGCTTGGTGTATTGAGTGGAGTTGCATTCAAATGTATTACAAGCCACATAGTTTGTGGGGAAGAAACTATTGGCACATTTGGAGATGGAGTGCCATGGGAAACCAACTTGGAGTTGATAATTGTTATTAATTATTTGATCTCAATAACTTGAATTGTTGTGAGAATGTTAATTATAAATCTTATACCGCTCTCTAACACGTTCTCTCAAACGAAGCCAACTTACGAATTTGAAATTTGCATAGGTCCATCATACTTTGTGCTTAGATCGATTAATATTAGGGTCATGAAGATTCAAACACACACTCATTTCGTCAAACCAACTTTAATACCATATCACAAACTATTTGGTCTCAATAACTTTAATCGTTTGAAAAGGTTAATATGAAATATGAATCTTATACACAATCGTTCCAAATGGCTCTTCTGTATAGGAATAGGAGACCCAATTCGAGAGGACCTAGCTTCGCTACGCGACTACTCGACGTTGAAATTTGAAGGTATATTACCATCCTATCTTTCTTTCTTTCTTTCTTGCTTTCTTTCTCCTTCTTGTATTATGATTCTTTCTTTCTTTCTTTCTGGCTACAGAGGCCTGATGTTGGCCGGCCGTCCCTTTGGCAACTTGGCTTGTGGAGGGTACTAGTACTAGTAGTAGACTAGTAGTCAAGTGGAATATTGGACTTGTTTCCTATTCTTCTCGACAATTCAGTATCACTAAAACATGATTCTTCTGTGGAACACGTTCAAAGTTGAATTTGTAGGATTATGATTCAGTTATGGAAACAATGAAAATGGAAAATTGGAAAGAAATTGTCTGCAGTTTACGATATATTAAAGAGGTGATTAGGTAGTCAGAAATTGTCTGCAGTTATAATTGACGAGATGATTCTACTGATTTCTGTTTGTGTATGTAGTCAGAAATTTAGTTAGATCAAACTGACCATGCGAATCGTCCTACTAATAATTAACACTATCAAAATGCTATGAGTTCGTAACAAACTAATTAACCTGAAAGCTAATTCAAATGGATGAGACCGGTTCTCTAATTTCTAAATGAATACATATTTATAGGGTTGATTCTGCGGGTGTGCAGGGAGGCCCTCCAACAAGGAGCCTCCAAATTATTGGGAGCCTCTGGTCAACGACCTACATTTACATTATGGATAATCCTAGTTATTTTATGGTGTATTGTGTTTTAATTATACATTTAAAACATGTAAAATTAATCAATTGGTCTTTGATTAAGTGTAATACAATAATTTTTTTTATCGCAAAGGGTAATAATATATAGTCATCCTTATCATTGTGTTGCTTCTTTCCCTTATTGTCCATTATTCCCTTTGGTGGGCGACTGCTTTTCTTCCTCTCTTGGAGCTATGTTGATCGGCTGGTCAAGCCTTTCTTTATATCGTTGTGGCGATACTCGACGTTAGCCTAGCTAATCAGGGGTCGAAAGGAATCCAGTGGGAAAATAATCCCCATTGGGTCGACCTATTGCAGCTGCTGAAATCCCGTGGAAGCAAGCTTCTAGCAAAAAAGAAGAGCAGATAGACGAAATGAGATTATTCTCCTCGCACTAAGAGTTCGGTGACTACTACCACTAGGCAGCGGAAGTCACATACCCTAGCTTCCAAAAACCCAAACACTAAGAGACAGGCGGGTGTGCGCGCTAAAAAGAATGGCAAGATGGCCAAGGGCGGCAATGTCTTGCTTCCCACAGTCATGGGGGACGAGGATGATGCTGCTAGGAAGACCGTTGCTCCCTCATCAGCTGATCTGAGGGGATCAAAGTCGAAAGAGGTGCCCCCTGAATTGATGGATTTGAATGAAGCAGCTTCGGAGGGTGATGCTCATCCTTATGAACTGCGCCAGCGTGCTTCGGGGAGCAAAAAGAAACTGCAACGTCTAGCTCACTCAACCTGAGTGCGCCAAGTGGTGCAAGCTTTCAAGAATGGGTTGCCCTGGCCGATTCAAAGGGGGAGCTAGGTCTGCGCCAGCCAAATATCATCGTGGCAACAGTAAGTTCGGAGCTGGCGAAGGATGTGGAGGAAGACCTCGCTTATGATGAGTATGGGGTCCAACTTAAGTGACCCTGGATTCGGGGCTAAAAAACGTCAGATTGATGAGATTGATGGTGAAATTGCTGAGACCCCAACACCTAAAAAACAGATTGTGGAAGAAAAGGGTGCAACGAAGACGGTGAAGGAAGCCAACCGAGAATGGCCTCAGACAGATAAATGAGGTTTCTCGCTAGGAATGTGAGAGGAATTAGACCATCCCTCACATTCCAAACTGATGTTGGTTTAGTTCATTCCAATAAACCGGATCTCGTGTTTTTTTTCCTTCTGAAACACGATCGAGCCGAAGAGTACTGTCGCATCGTATGATGGGCTTAGGTTTTGATTTTTCTTGGTGCTTCTTTGTTGATACGATTGACGCATCTGGCGGCTTAGTTGTATCTTGGTCCCTCGGGGTTGACACTTCGGTGTTCTTTCATTCCAATTTTTGTATTTGTGCCCAAATTAATGAAGTGAAATTTTCTTATGTTGTGATTTTTGTTTACATTAGCTGTAATGTTGCAATAAGAGCCTCCCAATTGGCTCAACTCCAAGAAATTTGTGTTGATATCCATCTTCCCTATGTAGTCATAGGTTATTTTAACACTATTCTTAATGAGGGTGAGAAAAATGGTGGTCTCACGTGGAATGCAAGTTGCAACTCAATCTCATAGCCTTCATGATTTTATCCATGATGTAGGTCTTCATGACCCCGGATATCAGGGAGACCTTTTCACCTGGAAAAATAAACGAATGGGAGCGGCTTGCATCCGTGAGAGACTAGATAGAGCCCTATGCTCCTAGACTCGAATTGATCTCTTTCTGGATACTCTTGTCAATCATTTTACGCACCAGGGATCAGATCATCGTGCTTTGCTCCTTTCCGATAAACCTTATACACGGAATAGTCGACCCCTTTTCCGTTTTGATGCCCTATGGGCGGACAATATTCCAGAGGTCAAGGCTATGGTTCAGTATATCTGCCAGGAGGATGTTCAGGGTACCCCTATGTTTTAACTGTGGGAACGACTTAAGAAACTCCACCATCTGCTATACGAATGGAGTAGAGCAGGCACTACGAACTCCTTGCGCAATATCAAAACCTTCCAGGCTGAAATTGATAGAATAAAATTAAACCATCCTATTGACTGGGTGGAGGTCCAGAGGTTGGAAATTGAATTAAATAGTCAATGGTAGGCAGAGAAAATCTATTGGAAACAAAATTCTACAGTCCGGTGGTTGAAAAAAGGCAATAAGAACACAAACTACTTCCATACGGTTACAAGGGCTCGTAGAAAGATGAACTTTGTGGCTGGCCCGCGGAACGGTGAGGGAGAATGGATCACTGAGGAACATGGGAAAGCTGCCATTGCTGATAACTTGTACCAGAACCTGTTTACCTCCGAAAATCAGGTGCATAATATGTATGATCGGTAGGAATGCCAATGGGGCAGGTCCGGGGTGGGTTTCTTGGTACCCAGACCCGCCCCGTGGCAGGTCGGGTAATTTATCATGGGTCGCAGGTCGGGGCAGGTCGACCCAATGGGTATGCAATTTATATGAAAAATATTAGAAATATTCATTGTTTTTATAATAAGACCAAGAAAACAAACAATATAATGATAAATGTAGTTAAATTATTAGAGATATTGAGGTTTTCAATCATTTACAACTTTATTATAGCTAAATTATATTGTAATAAAAGAAAATTCCTAAGTAATTTGACTAAGATTACATGTAATTTAGGAAAGAACGGGTCGAGAATGCGGCGGGTCAGGGCAGGTCGGGTCAATGAGAGTACCCATGCCCGCCCCGCCCCAAAACAGGCCAAACATGTCAGGTAAAACAGGTCAGGTCAAAATTGCCATCCCTACTAATTGGGTGGCTGCTCTTCCCATCGCTGGCAGTATCACACCAGATATGAACGCCAATCTGACGACAGAGGTCCTCACTAGAGATGTAAGAAAAATGGTCTTCTCCATGGGATTGAAGCAGGCACCAAGTTCTAATGGGTTTACTGGAAAATTCTTTTAACCCTTCTTGGATATCGTGGGGAGCTCGGTGATTGAAGTTGTCTGCTCTTTCTTTTCAACGAGTAAGATGCTCTGTAGCTTCAATCATACTTGGCTGACACTAATTCCTAAAGTGGAGAACGTGGAGACTATGAGACAGCTACGCCCAATCAACTTATGCCAGTTTGTTTATAAAATTATAACCAAAATCATGGCCGAAAGGCTTGCTTGCAATCTGCCTCAGATAATTTCGGATGGCCTAAATGCCTTCATCCGGGAACGACAGATAATTGAGAATATCCTCCTCGGACATGAGTTAATGCATTACTTGAAAATCAAAACACGCGGTAAGAAAGGGTACATGGTTCTAAAGATTGACATTGAAAAGGCCTATGATAGAGTCGAATGGACTTTTCTAATAGCAGTATTGGACAAGATGGGATTTAATTCAGTCTGGCGAGGATGGATACATGAATGCCTCAGATCAACGTCGTTCTCAATACTAACGAATGGCACCCCTTCGGGGTTCTTTTCTTCTTCCAGGGGTCTCCTACAGGGGATCCTCGCTCTCCTCTATTGTTTTTAATATGCACATAGGAGGTTTGCAGTGCTCCTTCGACAGACCATTTCGGAGAAAAAACTTGAAGGCGTAAAAGTGGCCCCTCGAGCACCCAGGATCTCACATATGTTTTTTTTTTGCAGATGATTCTTATTTATTCATGTGTGGTTTCATCCAAGAATGTGAAAATTTGATTGAGGTCTTAAATGACTATGAGGAACTTAGTGGAAAGAGGGCGAATTTGGCCAAATCGGCAGTTTGCTTTAGCAAAAATATTACTTTGCCAGACCAAGAATTCTTGGCGCAAATCCTGGGAGTAGGGGAGGTGGGGGTCCATGAAAAATATTTGGGATTGCCGACACTTATTGTTCGTTCCAAAATGGATAGTTTTCGATATTTGGAAGAGAAGTTGCTTGAGCGACTCCAGGGCTAGAAACAAAGGACATTATCTTAGGAAACTAAGGAAACTTTGATTAAATCTATTGCTTTAGCATTGCCTTTACATGTTATATCTTGTTTTAAGCTGTCTCTATCTCTGTGTCGGCTTTTAGACAAACACGTTGCCCGCTTCTGGTGGGGTGTTCAAGAGGGCCAGTCAAGGGTTAGGTGGTTGTCCTAGCGTAATATGTGCAGAAGTAAACATGATGGGGGTATGGGGTTTCGTCGTTTTGAACATTTTAATCAGGTTTTGTTAGCCAAAATCGGCTGTCGTATCCTTAATGAGCCGCATTCCCTTTTAGCCCAGGTGTATAAAGGGAAATATTTTCCAAACAGGACTTTCCTCTCTACTTTGGCTCGATCCCGCCCGTCGTGGGACTGACAAAGTATCCTCTAGTGTCGACAGTTGTTGGAGACGGGGTTAAGATGACAGATTGAGAATGGCCAGACGACCTCTCTACTTCATTCCAATTGGGTTCCTCGGGTACATCCCTGGCCTTTGGTGTATAATCCCCAAGTGTTGCCAAATGGGGGTGACTCGCCTGTTGCGGAGGTTATCTGTCAAGGGGATGGGCGGTGGTGTGACATAAAACTCAGTTAGTGGTTTGACCCGCCTACTTGTTGTGCCATCAAAGCTATTCCTTTACCGCGTGAGAATGTGGAGGATAAACTGATTTGGTATGGCACGACTGATGGGGTCTTCAAGGTTAAGTCGGCTTATCACTTAGTTGTCTCTCTTGACAAACGAAGTGGGCGTTAGAGATCTACGGTTAGTTGGATGGATAAAACTAGCTAGATTAGGTTATAAGAGTCTAATATTCCACCCAAATTGAAAATCTTTTGCTGGCAAATATTCCATCGCATACTGCCAACTACTGAAGCCCTAAGAGAGAAGGATGTTCATGTCCTCCCTAAATGTCCGGTGTGCTGGGCTGATTCAGAAATAATGGAGCATTTGTTTCTCTACTGTCCAGTAGCGTGGGCCCTTTGGGATTATTCGGGTATGGAATATCTTGGTCAAGGGTTGCCTTGTCAAACTTTCCCATTTTTTCTTAAAAAGCTGATGTCGTTAATACACCAACCTCCTCTATTCATGACGGTTGTTGCCATCCTTTGGAGGATCTGGAGATCACTGTCTTTGAGGGCAAGCAGTTTGGGTTCACCGTCTTAATGCGACAATTTAACCAGCAATATGAGAGGAGTGGATAACCTTGCCGGTAGATCCCACACCACAGTCTTCATTCCGTTGATACAACACCTGGTACCTGATGGGACTACTATGGTTGTTTGTAAGTGGGATGGGGCTACAAGAAGTGGGTCCCATTCAGCTGGGGGATGGTTATTATAAATCCAAATAGGGAGATCCTTTTGGTTACATGGATTCAATTTTTGTTGATTGATGACCCTTTGGTGGTCGAACTGCTGGTGCTCAGAGAGGCTATCTTGTGGTGTCTGAGTCATGGATTCACATAAATGAGATTCGAAGGCGATGCCAAGATCATTATTGAGAAGATCAATCGGGCTGATACCAGCGACAATCAGATGGGGGCTATTCTTCAAGAAGTAGTGAATTACCTTGCCATTCACTCTGGGTTTAGTGTTCGATTTGTAAAATATGGTACGGGAAGATTACGTATAAAATACGTACGGGTATTTTACTTCAACTATAAGCCAATGTTACGTTTAATAGCACGTTAATAGTCATAAATTTATTAAATAAATTATTTTAAAAATAATTAAATATATAAATAATTGTATAGTTAACAAGTTAATTCATTAAATACGGATATTAAACGTGTTATACGAATTTTATATGTGTTTAGTATGAGAGCCATCAAAATAACGGGGAAAAATGAAACGGCTTGACAATAATACGGATACGGAATTTTTAAACGAATAAAGTATGTACGGGTACATATATGTGTATTAAACAGAATATTTACTAACTATATGCTGTAAATCAATCTGATTATGTTTTGTCAAAGAAAAAAAAAATGTAACCTCTACTTCTTCTACTTATCCAACCAAATGCATACTTTTAATCATATCGCGACAGGTCTCTCGCGTATGTACGCGAAAAGCTGGTTACTCGAAATTGACCAAGTTAAACACCTCATCCGCAATTTATCGTCTGCAATTCTTACTTTTATCATGAAAACAATAGTCCATTTTGTGCCTAGCTAGTTACCACTTAAGATGCGAAACCTGGTCATGAGATGGAGACTTATAACGAGGAGGAAATGTTGGTCACGTTACCAAATCGAGCATGAACCACAACCATCTCGTCTCTGCATGATGTATTCCGACACGTGGAAACCAAAAGTAGAAACAAACAAATTAAACAACCTGTTCGTTCCAGTTTCGCAAGCAAAAAACAGAAATCAAATCTCAATCACATGACCTGCGGGGTGCTGATGTAGTTATATATTAATTTGTGTTCTCGTTGCAGCCACGGGACTTCCGGTTTTGGTTACTTCTTCGCGTGCTTCACGCAACAACGTACAAGATGGAAGAAATTAAGGGAAAGGGAAGAAAATCGATCGGTTAAGAAGAAGAAGAAGAATTGTTATTTGAAGGGAATATTATGGGATCCAATAAAATTATTGGCCCGAATTGAACTTGTTGGATTGGATGGGTATGTGATCAGATTCGGTGGGCGTGCATGCCTCATGCATATATGTATTCTATGCCACCACAAGAAACAGAATATATATTAAAGAGAGTTTGTACGTCTTGAATATTAATCTTGGGTCCATTGTTTAGAAGTTAATTAAAGAAGAAAAAAACACAAGAAAACTAATTATCTGACGGGATTATCTTTCGATTTAGTCTAATACGGGCAGTTACATCTGTTTGATTCGAAGAGTTTTTTTTTATGTCTCTTGCGATTGCGGTGTTCAGGTTTCTTCAATAGATTTTATAAATGTTTTGATTTCTAATTTTCTGGAGCAACTCATGCTCGATAGTGACTTATCGTGGTGTGATTGGACTCGAACAATGTCAAGTTCTTCGACATATTGTTTGAGAAAATTTCTTGCCAATTTTGGATGGAGGGAGAGAATTAATTAAAGCAGGGGTTAGATATTATGGCGTATGCCCGCCACACGAATAAAAGGTAGTATGGTGTCCACACTCAACAAAAAACAAAGAACCATACATTTGTATTATCTCATTTTCGAGCCGTGAGACATCATGTTATAGATATTAATTTTACAATGACGATATCTATACGTATGCTTGTTTGATAAGGAAAGTTTCGTCTCGTCTTGTGACCTTATCCGGCTAGAACCGATACCCCGATTTCTTGGGAACATTGAGGAGTTTCTTTTTGCCCAACTTGAAGGAGATGTGGTGTGTGTCAACCACACGACTATAAGGGTATAGCATGGTGTCCACACTCCAAAGAATAAAGAAAGTGATATAGATAGAATAGAAGCATGGGATCGATTGATGGAGGCATGGACGGTTTGGCCTCTTTGTTCCTTTCTCTAGAATTGAAATGTTTGATGTTTATGTACAAGTTTGATTCTCTTCTTTGGAAGTTGAATTGAATTTAGAGACGACATTTAATTTTGTTGGCTGGTCCACCCCATGCATATGGCTTAGTTCATGCCACTTCAAGGGAGATTCCGTTTCTCACATGTAATGACAATAATAATAATAAAATGCTTCTCTATCTGAGATTTGGCTCTCTTTGTTTATGTTTCCAAATCTTGAATTTTAAATCTTTGGTTATAAATAGGATATATGTTTTCGACCGGTGCATTCACACACGGTCATGGCCGGCTTTGTATTGTAGGTTCATATCCGTGGCTCAAATCAATTGATTTCTATTTAATCATTGGATGGATTTTAATTGGTGAACAAATTTATAAAAACAACTAGATCTTTTAATTAATTGGTCATAATAACTCAAGTTATTGAGAAAAAAAAATCCATATATGAATTTTAGACACTTTCTTACACGTCCCCTAGTTATCTCATGGATTTTAACTTTTTCGTCATACTATATGCTTTAAGATAACAATTAATATTGTGTAGGAATCAAACACGCGACCTCAACACTAAACTAGTTCTGATGTCATTAATTAACCAATTTTAATATCTTGAATTATTGGAAGAAGTCTATATATGAATTTTAACTATTTCTTTACACAAACACAGGTAACCAATGTTTTTTAATTCAATTCTGATGTGTTTTCACTTTTTTGAATTTATTTATGATAAATGATAATCGAAGCGTTATACGCAGGAACCTATAATCCCGTGGAAGAGCCCTATGAGTTGGATAGCCAAGGCCCGAGAGTGCATGTGGGGCCATAATCACACAAAACAAATCCTTCTCGATAAATATAGTTTACGCAATTGGGAGAGGTTCATGTGTGATACTTAATCACCTTTTTACATGTAACATCCCCTTTTAAACGAAAGCCAATGTAACTCATGGGCTTACAGTTTGCATAAACCTCCGCATACCATGTGCTTTAAGACAATGATTAGAATAAACGGTCGTGAGGACTTGAACACGTAACCTCAAGAATAAACAAACTCTGATACCATATCAAAAATCAAATGGTCTCAATAACTCAAATTATTAGGGGGGAAATTCATATATAGTACTTAACTACTTCCTTATATATACACGATACGATTATAGCTGAGTATGGGGTTGGGTTTGCAAGTTTAGTTAAAACTAATCCACAAAGTTAAAAGTTGTTGTGTCAACAACCTTGATATTATTTTTTTCCTTTGATAGCACTGTCGTTCTTGCTTGTTAGGTTTCACATCTTGTGATGCCTTTATAAAAAAAATGTTGCCTTTTACCTATTACCATTATATTAGATAAACAGAAAAAAGATATTATTTTGTGAATGAGGCTGTGGTCATATCGTTGGTTTTCAGCCTGGAATCTCAAATTCAAATACAAAAAATTATGATTGTTTTCCTTCCACAGTTCCACATCCCTTAAACGAAAGGATAACATTCTCACTACTAAAGTATAATTATTTTCTCGAGTCTCGAGGCTTCAATTAGGTTGGAAAAGTATATATTTACTTGACTCGGATGAAAGGTCTTTTATGTTGTAATAAGGTTCCTCATAAACAAGAAATGAATACAAGATCCAAAGTCAACAATACAATCAAGAACAACATAACCATCTAGCGAAATCAAACCCAAAAATCAATCTGAGCGATAAACAAAACATAACATGAAGATGCCTAGGTGAAGGAGGCCTATACGTGCGAAGGGCTTTTATTAGGCCCAATGAGGCCTTTTGTCATCCCAAGTCAAAAACCACATCTCTCAAACCACGTTCTGGGCCAGTATCTACTAATTCTAAGCTCCGTAGATGGCCCAGCTCAACAGACTCTTCGGCCCAAACACTGTACTATTTTTGTTAGTGATTAGGGATAGTTTGCTTGTTGCCATATGAAAGAGGAATGTTTGTGCAAAAATTTTAGATTTTTTTTTTAAATAGGAGATTCGTGGTTATTAGAGCATCCACATTGGTATTGCATTCTCAATTTCAAAATGATATGACATAGGTGTTTGCAATTGCAAAACCAATTGCATTGATGTGGCTACCAATTGCATATTTGCAAGCTTGCAACAAATGTAATTTCATATGCAAGTCAAAAAAGCCTACAAAAAAGGGAATTTTTTATTTTATATTATTTTCTTTTCTCTTTTACTTAATTTTCTATAATTTAAATATAAAATTTAATTACATTTGCAATTGCAAGTTAATTGCATTGATGTAGGTAAATGAAATGAATTTGATGTGGATTACAAAAATTTGAGTTGAAAATAAAAAACATAAATGCAATTTCTTTTACAATTGCATTGATAGAGATGCTCTTAGGATGTGGTTGATTTTTTTTTTTGGTCATAGATAGGGAATGTTCTAGATATTACAGGACACTTGATAACCACACGCGACAGTTGACAAATAGCCGAACTGTCGATGAAAGGGCACTAGAAGCCACTAAATGGGCAGCCTTGTTGTACTATCTCAGAGTAAAATTACAATCAATGAAATTAAACATTGCGACCGCCGAACAGATCTCCTCCAAGATCGCACCACCAGTTCCATGGGCCACATCCCTCGTCTGTATCCTGCGAATCAAAGGCTGGCAATCGCCACAGAAATTGACCAAAACAAAGCCATGCATGACACACCAATTAATCGCATCCCGAACAGCTAATAATTCCGCTATAAAAGGTTCAGACACACCTGGATAGTATCGGCCGAATGCAAAGAGCAGCTGGCCGGTGTTGGAGAATCCGGCGAACCCTACTCCGCCCCCCCCCCCCCCCCCCCCCCCCCCCCCCCCCGCCTCCTTCTTCCAAGCTCCATCGAAGCGGACAAGGACACCATCAGGTGGACACATCCCTGTCGGCGGCGAGTTGCTCGTTCCCTGGCCCGGTCTCGTCCGTGAACTAGGCGCCCCACCCCCAGTCCTGTGTAGGGTCAATGGCGAGGACACATGTTGCCACTCCTCCACCTGTGCGCGGTACTGGCGAAACAGGGGTCCCCCTAAGTGTTGGACGTGCTTATGTATTGCCCAACAACGTGATTTCCACACTCGCCAACAGAGGAAAACAACATCAACAATCTCAGTCTTGGACAAATGACATTCAAAGAATAAATCATTCCAACAATCAGAAGGCGACAAACCCTCTAACCTCCTTCTTAAGTTGCCCAACCCAGCAAGCTCCCATAGCTCCATGGCCACCCGACAGTGGAGAAAGGAGTGCGCAATAGTCTCAGCCCCGTCAAAACAAACCGGACACACATTCTCTGTAACCAGCCGTTTGATTTGAAGCACAGCTCGAACTGGAAGAAAGCCTCTGACCACTCTCCACCAAAAGAATTTCAATTTAGGCGGCAGTGGTAGACTCCACAGCACCTTCCAGAACCTGCAATCATAGGGTAACAGGGAGGGAGGGTGAGCAGCCAGCAGCTCATCGGTGAGAACATGGTACCCGGTTTTTACAGTGTATTCTCCCGTTGGAGAATAGTGCCAAATGAGCTTGTACGGAGAAACCTGCATCGGTAAAGGAATAGAAATAATTAAAGTCTCCGATGCTGGCACAAAAAGATTAGCGCAGCAGTTCTACATTCCAGGAGCGGGAAAAAGGGCAGATGAGGTCCGAAACAAAAACCGGACAGGAGGTAACATGCGGCAGCAACACAGGAACGGACGGAGGGTTTGATGGGAGCCAGTTGTCTGCTAACACTTGCACAGTAGATCCATCCCCGATCCGCCAACGAAGGCCGCGCAACAGAAGATCCCTCTCGGCTAGAATGCCTTGCCACGCCCAGGATGGCCTTGGCCCCGATGCTGCCTCCAAAAATGAGGTATGGGGATGATATCTCGCTCGGTATAGAGACGCCAACTTGGAATCCGGATTCATTAGCACTCGCCAGGCTTGCTTCGCCAAGAGTGCAATGTTGAAACGTTCAAAGTCTCGAAAGCCTAATCCCCTGCAAATTTACTGAGACACACTTCCTGCCATGAAAGCCAATGTATCCCATCTTCTTTATCTTGATCAGTCCACCAAAACCGCGATAACTGGCCATTTAACCTACGACATGTGAAGGAAGGTAATCTAAAAGCAGACATTGTATAAATGGAGGAGGCCGAACCAATAGACTTGATCACCGCACCAATGGATGTAGTTGAATTGAATTTATGAGTTTAAAAATTAATTTATAAGCGAACATATTAAAACTGTGTTATTTTTATATAATCAAATTTCTGGAAGAAGAATGGCTCTGGTCTGGAGGAGATCAGAAAAGTTGTGTTCTCCTTCAAAGATTGTGTGCTTTGGAAAACTGCAGTGGCTGGCTGTGGCTGGTGCTGGTCCAATATAATATGATGGAGAAGAAAAAGAAAAGACCAGAAATTAGACGGCAGTTTCGAAAGGCAAAACGTCTGCTGCGGCCGTTTCTTCTTCATTTTCTCTTGGCTTTTGTAATTTTTCCCCCATTATTCCCAGTCGCACTTGGCCACAAACCCGGGCAAAGAATCTTCTTTGCTTCGTCAAATTGTTCAAGTAAAGATCGCGACTTGCTTCCGTTTCTCTATCATTCCCTTCTAACCCAGAAAGCAGAAAGATGGATTTCCAGAGGAGGCGGGTTCAACTTCTTGCTTTCATCGTCGGGACCATCGCTCTCAGTATTGCTGGTAATGTTGAACTACCGTTTAGATTTGTCTTTGTTTCCAGGCTTCTTCCTTGAAAGCTGATGGCTTTAGATAGTTTAAGGATCCGGGCTAAGAGATTTGGTTGACAAATCACGCTTAGAGCAATAGAGTTGTCAAGGAGATTTGCTGATGGAGGGGTTTTATTCTGAACTCGAGGACTAGTTTTCAGTTGGTTAATGGTGAATGACTGAGATTTGGTTTAGCGTTGAACTTCTATGTTGAAATTGATCTGTTCTTTCTGCTAATTGTGTGAATGTGTAATGGGGTTATATCACTTATGCTTGGCCTAAGTTGCTAACTAAAATGATTCAAATGATTTATTTTGATCAAATTAAGATGCCTTGTCTGGGTCAATCTCCCATTGTTCTCCCTCCTCAATGAACAGATTCGGTTCATAAGGGAATATAGGACTCATTGCTTGGATCTTTCATTCTTTCCCAACGACTTAAGTTATTGAAATAAATTGAATCTGGATAATGGTGTCAAATCCTTTTGATGGCCTAAATCTCGTGTGTTCTAATCTTGGTTTCCTTCGATTAATAGTTGACTGTCCAAATATTATAAGACAATAACCTTATGTTTAAAACCCGCATATGATTCTTCTGCTTGATTGCATTGAACTGTTTTGTCCTGTATTTCTTGTGACTAAAGATTCCCTCTTGTGCTATGCATTATCTTGCAATGTATGTTCATCCAAAACAATGAACTAAGTACTATTGTTCGTGAGTTTGTTGTGTATTGGATGTTTTAAGGCCTCCACCAAGTTGGGATCTTTGAACTGATGGAATGAGTTTCGGCTGTGCCTTACTTGAATTCGGTCTAAAGGGATCCTATTGCATAGTGCACTTTACTTCATAACAGACTTCATGTACTATCTTGTTGGCTTACTGCTCCCACCACGTTGCATAGTCTCTTAGCTGATGATCATTGTCCATGCCATTTTCTAGCCGAAAAATGCAGGCTACTTGTGGGAGAAGACTCATCATCTCAAAGTGGAAAATTTACAATCTTCGACTGCTTCGACATGAGCACAGGAACCCTAGCATGCACGGTAAAGGAAGGTGTGAAGCTCTATGTCTACAACATGAGATCTTCACACGTTGAGAAAGCAAGGAATTTGGCGATCGAGCAGGCAATACACGACGCAATGCAGCAAGGGATATCAGCTAAAGATGTTGCTAAGCAAGCACAAAAGGAAGGTGCAAAGGCAGCTAAGTTGGCTACTAGAAAGACCAAAAGGATCGTAGGGCCTATCATTTCTTCCGGATGGGACTTCTTCGAGGCGGTCTACTACGGTGGGACCATAACCGAAGGGTTCCTGAGGGGTACTGGGACCTTGTTTGGAGCGTATGCAGGTGGGTTTTATGGGGAGCAAGGAATTGGAAGAGTTGGGTATCTGCTTGGCAGTCATTTGGGGAGTTGGATTGGAGGGAGAATCGGGTTGATGGTGTATGACGTGGTGAGTGGATTGCATTACTTGGTCACTGTTGTTGAAACCATAGATGGTGAGACTGAGAATGACGAAAAGGCTGATGCTGGCGAGTCATACTCGTATGAAGATCCACCTGCTTTCGAAGGTAACGAGGGGGTGATTGAGGAAGGCTCCAGTGTTTATGAATCTCCCATGTATGAAAGTTCTGAATCGGAATCGCATGAATCACCTTCAACTTTCTGGTTATGATACAGAGTATAATGGTAAGAGTTTGGCTTGTGAAACCTGCTGTTCAGAAACAGGGACTGATCTATACGAGAGTTCTTTTTCTTTTGTAAAAAGATGCAAGATTTGGATATACTTGTGCTAGTAGAAGCTGTAGTTTACTTGATTGAGTATTGGATAAGCGTAGGCTGAGATGAATTTAATGTCCTATTGATTTTCACTTGTGATCAGTAATTGACTTAAATTTATAATGTATGAATTTAAATTTCATTTTTTTCGTGGGGTTTAGAGTAAATAGTAATTTTGACTTAAATTTGAGGGAAATATAAAAACATATATTTTATTTTATTTTGATAATAACATAAGTTTGAAAAACGTAGGAGAAAGAAAGGAAACCCAAATGTAACATGGGAACATTATTTCTAACTAAAATATTGTCCGTTTTATCAAACGCGACATGTTTTTACTTTTTGTAACTAATATGGTGATCAAAGTAATATCATGTGGGGTTAGACCCAAGTGCACAATATCGTTTTTTGAAGTTAAATTTTTTCAGGGTGAAGCAATAAATAGATGAGTAACTTCTCCGAAATAAATATATAATATTATGGCAAATGTTAGCGTATGCCTAACATATGCTATACATCTTCATTCATACCTATGATTTGTACTTGGATAACTCGGACAAGTCAGAATCGTTGTTTTTAGTTTTGAGATTAAATGAATCTTATAATTTGGGTTAGAGAATTGAGGACTGGGGTTAGTGATGACAATGGGGTGGGGGCGGTGCGGGTACCTCAATACCCATGCACCCATGCTACTGTGGGTTAGGGAGGGTAATACCTGCACGGGTACATGGTGGGGGCGGGCCGACCCACTCTTACATGATATTTGAAAAAAAGACGATTTTTTTTATTACTTTTGATGATAAAACGAAGGGAAAATACTTTATGTATATGAAAATAGTGATAATATAATGGGCAATTGGCTTTAATTAGTTGAAGATCGAGTCTAACTAGTTGAAGAAAAGTCAAAATAGGAGACGTATGAATAGTTACTGTATGAAATTGCAATAGAATGGGCAAAGAACGGGGCAGGGCGATGCAAAGTGGGTCGGAAGTTGAAACCCATGCCCCACCCCCATCACGGGTCGGGTAATACTCGTTGGACGGGTTCAAATTGTCATCACTAACTGGGGTTCACCCATTAGAGGTTATGATATAATATCATGCCCCAAACTCCGGCTAATTCATGATCTATATAACAAAAATGGACGGGCGTACAGTAAGGTAAGCGTACCTCAGGCGTATGCTAGCCTAAATCATTATATTATAAATATATTCATGACAATGAGAAAGGCTAGGCATACGACCGTGTTCACACCTATTATTTGTACTTTGATATATTTTGACGAATCAGAACGGTTGGTTATTATTTTAAGATTAAACAACTCTCATGCTTTGGGTTAGAAATTAGGGATCGTGTTTACCCATTTGAGGTTAGGGTATAGTATCATGCTCCAAACTCTGGTTAGTTCATGATCTAAATAACAAAACTCAACGGGCGTACGGTAGGTTAGCATGAATCTCATAACAATACATCTATTTAACAATCACAACTACAAACCAACCCTAAATATAATTTAGGGTCAATATCTTATTATTTTTTTACCATTATTTATGATCTTATTAGATAAAAGAGCTTAATTTTTTTGTTTGATTTATTATTTTTTACCATAATTTATTATCTTATTAGATAAAGGAAATAAGAAAATATTTGTGATTTGAATTTTTAATTTTTAATTTTGGTGATGACATGGCAGTGAGTTGGACCGTTAGTTAAAAATGTTGTCCGTCTAAATTGACGGTCAAACCACGCGTCCGACCAATTGAGTCTATATAATGTAAAGTTGAAGTTAGGATAACAATTTCTAAAACCACGGGCCAAAATTTATTATTTGGGTATAGTTTGGGGTTTTGGATAGGGATGGCAGACGACCCACTGGCCTTGGGCATCCGTCGGGGCCCGCCCGTGTGTATTGGGCCGAAACCCGCGACGGCGGGTAACTTGGCAGTGTCAGGCAGACCGGCGACCCGTGTCGCTCGGTGATGGGCTGGGCCCCGTATCCGCCTGGTAGCGAAACGACGACGTATGGAATGAGGTATAAAAGGTAAATTTTTCGCTAGGGGTTTGGACGAAGCTCATTTTCAGCAGCTGCCTTCCTCTTTCTTCCCCGATTTTCTTTGTAAAAATCGCTGGAATCGCCGACTTTCAGCCAAAAATCAAATAGTTTCCGACGATTTCTCCTCATTTCTCTTCGATTCTCCCTCGAAAATCGACGATCCTATCGCAAAAAACCCCACATCTTGCTGTTAATCAACCCTAGAGCCACCTAAAATATCTCGATCGACAGAAATCCTCTTCGAATCGTCAATCGTGCATGCAAACGATTTCTTTCCCAGATGGCCAGATTGAGATAAGCATTTTTTTTACCTTAATCTAGTTTTGCTAATTGCTATTGCTTCGCTTGTACATGTATAAATAAATGACGAGAATTCATTATTTTGTTCATTTGCAGTTCATCCTTCATCGAACTAATAATCTATAAACCCTTTTCCAGAAATAGCACTGTTCAGAAAAAAATTCCAAAAATAGCACACAACTCCGAAAAATTCCAAAAATAGCACTCTTTCTACAAAACCGCCACCCGTACCAGTGGTTTAGGCTAAACCCGCCTCCTGGGGGCGTTTTTCAATGAAAACTGCACTGGTAAGTGGGCGGTTTTGCAAACCGCACCCCCACCATGTGGTTTGGTTGCAGACCGCACCCCCACCATGCGGTCTGTTTTTTATTTTTTTTTGAAAAATCCTAATCTAGGTGGAAACTTCAAACGAACGTATCTTTGTGTTCGGGTATTCCATCGTCGCGAATTTTTTTTTTGATTCCACATAACCTTTTGAGATCTTGCAAGCCGAAGACTGCCGAAGGTGGTTTGGTCCCGCCTTCGTCCCAAAAAATGTCATTTGCTACCCCGAACGAGCTTTTTTCCTATTTCGTCAAAGTTTGGACAACCATAACTTTGTGCTCCAAAATCCAAACGACATAATTTTTTTAAGGACTACAATTTTTACTAGGAATGAATTTTCAAAACATGAATTATTTTTGGATATACAGGATTTTGGGAATAGCTTACCTTCTCTTCTCAGCAATCCACGTACATTTTGAAATTATGTCTATGATAAAAGTTGTATTCTGTAAAAAATTATGCGAAATAAAAAAAAATCGTGCCGTTTGGATTTTGGAGCATAAAGTTATGGTTGTCCAAAGTTTGACGAAATCGAAAAAAGCTCGTTCGGGGTAGCAAACGACATTTTTTGGGATGAAGGCGGGACCAAACCACCTTCGGCAGTCTTCGGCTTGCAAGATCTCAAAAGGTTATGCGGAATAACAAAAAAAAATTGCGATGATCGGATACCCGAACAGAAAGATACGTTTGTTGGGGGTGTGGTCTGCAACCAAACCACATGGTGGGGGTGCGGTTTGCAAAATCGCCCCCTACCAGTGCGGTTTTCATCGAAAAATGCGCCCCCGAGTAGCGGTTTTTGCCTAAACCGCTGGTACGGGTGGCGATTTTGCAGAAAGGGTGCTATTTTTGGAATTTTACGGATTGGGTGCTATTTTTGAATTTTTTTATACAGTGCTATTTTTTTATACATTGTTTAATATTGGTTCTTGCTTAGTTCGGTAGATACGCAGAAACCCTAACAATCCACATCTGCTCTTTTGTTCTTGCAGATTGTTGTTCGTGACTCCTGATAACGTCGTATTTGCACATGTTTCACCCTCGTTTCTTGATCATTTTGGCTTGAGATTTTGATTTCTTGGACTATTTTACGCTAGGTTGTGTTCCTTTGTCACATTTCAGGTCCTAGCATGTAAAGTGAAGCCTAGGCTCAAGTTTCAACTCAATAGGAGATCAATTGGCGACTCGGGGTGAGAAACTCGGGAATGACTTGAGGAAGAATGGATTTATACCTCATTTTATTGACAAAGAATCATGAAAGCTTGTCATGAAAGAAAGAGGACAAGACTACGAGCATCTGGGATCAAACGACACCTGAATCGGAGGTTAAACGAGCTCAAACGAGATCAACGAAGCTTAGGAGTGCATGCAGGAAATTGTGCACGGCCGTGTGAAATTGTGCACGGCCGTGGGGGGTTTGCACGACCAAAACCTCAATTTTCACGGCCGTGCAAGTAAAGGGTGCGAGTTTCAGCGGGTATAAAAGCTGTTTTGCGATTTTTGGAGAGGGAGAGCTGGGTTTTGGATCCCAAACACCCAAGGGACGAACCAAAGAGAGAAAGGGTGATCTAGAGCCATTCTTGGATCTATTTTGGAGGATTTCTTCACCATTGGAGCTCGAGAATCAAGCTTGGAGATGGAGATTGAAGATCCAGATCAGATTTCTGCAGTCTCTCTCTTCTCTATGGAGTAACTTCCCTTCACTTAGGTTGTGAGGAACCCTAGTTCCATATGTTAGGATCTTTCTTGTATGAAGTTTTGGATGCTATATTGTGTGATTATAATCGATTGAGGCATGATTTATTGAGTCAATTGAATCCTGATCAAATTCTCTTGATTTATGCTTTAACCTTTGATAGATAGAATCTGATTAGGTTATGAGAGCTTCCTTGATTGATAGTAGTGAATTGGTTGTGCGAGAGTCAGTCACTTCACTGCTTTGTACTGGAATTCATTCCAGTAGTGGATATCTGTGTGAATTGCGTTAGCAGTCTATCCCGGTGAAGGCTAGTCGCCTGCTGGGTATTCTGTCTAAGAGGGCTTGGTCAGCTTAAGAGATTCCAAGCTAATTTAGGATCTTCCGCAGTTTAATCAACAGTAAAACATCCAAAAGGAATTACAACTTGGACCTAATTGAGGAGCTAGGGGGAATCATACCTAAGTGAGTTCCCAAACTGTAATTAGTAGTTTTACTTAGTTTATTAGTAGAGTAGTTTCGTTA